GGGATCTAGATTGTGGCTCCTAATGAGAATCTAATGCCTGATGATCCCCCCACCTCCGTCCATGGAAAAATTGCCTTCCACAATACCAGCTTCTGATGCCAAAAAGGTTGCAAACCAATGATCTAGTGTATCCAACCTCCCCTATAAATTTGCTAATGAAGAACTGAGCCTGAAGGGCCTTTTCATAGGCCTGTCTTTGGAGTGTCAGAATTCCCTATGGAAGCTCCCGATGGGTGCACTAAATCATCCTCAGGGATTTCTCTGCCAGACCAGGAATTTCCAGTTATTTTATTAAAAAAAAAAAAAAAAATAGGCTGGACGCAGTGGATCACATCTGTAATTCCAGCACTTTGGGAGGCCGAGGCAAGAGGATTGCCTGAGTTCAGGGGCTTGAGACCAGCCTGGGCAACTTGGCAAGACCTTGTCTCTACAATAAATGAAAAAATTAGCCGAGCCTGGTAGTACATGCCTGTAGTTCCAGCTACTTGGAAGCCTGAGGTAGAAGGATCGCTTGAGCCCAGCACGTCGAGGCTGCGGTGGCCATGAGTGTGCCGCTGCACTTCAGCCTAGGAGACAGAGTAAAACTCTGACTCAAAAATAAAATGGAATGGAATGGAATAAAATAGCAGCTTTATTGAGGTTGGAGGGAAGTTTTCATTGTATGACCTGTTCTGTGTTTGTGTGTGTGTAACCATATTCATAACTTTATCAATTAAAAAAAAACACTAGTGTTAGGTTTCTTGGGAGAAAAAAAATTCAACTGTAAGTCTTTCGTTTTTCTTATCTAACAGAATCCAAGTGACAAAATGTAGATGTTGTCTGTAAGTGAATCTAAACCTATGTATCCTTCATTGAGTGAAGACCAGTGTGTTGCTATGGAAAGTGTCTGGATAATTAAAGATACCTTCTCTGAACACTACTTATTCTATTTTTAGTATGGCACTTATATGCGTGAAATTGCCTGTGTATCAGCAGATTTACACAACTGCAAAGTTATTTTGCATGCAGAGGGATACTGTCAGAACTTCACTAAAAGCAGTGTAACAGCTAAATGTTGGTATCTGTTATGCATTCTGGATGTCAAAAGAAATAATAGGACTACAAAATATTTAAATCACAGATGCTGTGCAGAGATTGGTTTAGAAAGATTTCCATTATACATTCTGGATGTTGAAAGATATAACAGGATCACAAAATATTTAAATGACAGAAGCTGTGTGGGAATTCATTCAGAAAGATTTCATCAGATACATTTATGTTCCTTTTATTTATTTTTAAAAATATGCCAAGGAAGCCGGGCTCGGTGGCTCAGCCTGTAATCCCAGCACTTTGGGAGGCTGAGGTGAGTGGATTGCCTGAGCCCGCAGGTTCGAGACCCACCTGGGCAACTTGACAAGACCTCATCTCTACAATAAATCAAAAAATTAGCCGGGTGTGGTAGCACATGCCTGTAGTTCCAGCTACTTGGAAGGCTGAGGCGGAAGGATCGTCGGAGCCCAGCAGGTCGAGGCTGCGGTGGCCAGGAACGGCCACTGCACTCCAGTCTGGGTGACAGAGTGAGACTTCAAAAAAAAAAAAAGCCAAGGAGCATTCTGTTACTTCCTGTTAATGCTGTCACCAGATATCTTGTCCTATTGCTACAAGAGATGCTATTGGCTATTTAATACCTGAAACTTAAAAAAAATTTTTTTTGGATAGGTGTAGTGGCTCATGCCTGTAATCCCAGCACTTTGGGAGGCCAAGGCTGGAGGGTTGCTTGAGCCCAAAAGTTCAAGACCAGCTTGGGCATCATAGTAAGAACTCATCTTTACAAAAAATATTAGCTGGGCATGGTGGCACACACCTGTAGTCTCAGCTACTTAGGGGACTGAGGCAGAAGGATTACCTGAGCCTAGAAGGCCTAGGCTGTGGTGATCTGTGATCATTTCACTGCATTCCAACCTGGTCAACAGAGTGAGACTCTGACTCAAAAACAAAACAAAACAAAACATATATTTTTATATATATATATATATATGTGTGTGTGTGTGTGTGTGTGTGTGTGTGTATATATATATATATAAATAAATTTCTACCCTCAGAATATAATAAGGATAATGAATACCCATATATCCATCAAATATATTTAATAGTTGCTATCATTTTGCTCAATTCTATTTTTGCTGAAGTATTTCAAAGGAAAGTATAAGCATACTAGCTTTATACCCATACGTACTATAGTATGCATCTCTAGAAAATAAAGACATTTTTCTACATAATCACTATATCATTATCCCACTGTACAAAATTTCTCTTCCTTTTAGACATGCAAATTCTGATTGGAGTACTGGTGAGTAAATGATCAGTACTTATTTTTTTAACTCCTTAGGGCCTTAAAGGAGTAGGAAAAGATAGACATGACTAAAAGAGAAAAAAATCGAGGAAGTCCATTAAAGATTCTGATTAAAAGGACTTTTAGGATCTTTAGAATTAAATCATCCTAGTGTTTAGTTTCACTTTCTGTGTCTTCACTGTATTGTCAGCCAACCCTGCCCATCCTCAGGATAGGAGGAGAGAAACTGTAGGTAGACTTTCTTGAAATGAAACTGTCTATTGATGACTGAATTAAAGCTCTGCCTTTGCAGACTCCCCTCCCCTCCCCTCCCCTCCCTGCCTTTCCCTTAAAGCTTTTTTTATCTGCTTCAGTATCTGTTGAAGACTTACCTCAAGTTTGAGAATGAAGACCTAGCAAGCATATTGGAAGTTCTGAATGCAGGTTGTATTTACTGAGTTTCTCAGTAGGATGATGTGGGTTTGCTTGTTGTTGGTGCCCCATGTTAGTATCTTTAGATCTGAAGCTGTTGGGTTGCTTCAGAGATGACCCTCGTCTCAACCCCTGCTCAAGATGGTACAGAAGGTATAAAGGGCCAGTGGCCTTCAGTCTGGGACCCTTATCTCAACCCCTGCTCAAGATGGTACAGAAGGGGTAAAGGGCCAGTGGCCTTCAGTGGGGAAGAAGACCTGGTGGGGGTGGGGGGCGTGTCTGCATTTATCTCTCATTCTCCTGTTTTTGGTAGGGTACCTTGCCCTCAAATGTATTTGATGTCCTCTAGTCCCTCTGTTTTACTCTCTAGGAATACAGTCTACTGTGGAGCAGGAAAGGAGAGAAAGGAATCCAATAGCATTTCAAATAACCTTTCAACCAGTCCTCCTTATTTTCTACCCCTGCCCCACCTCCAGAGTTATCGAGTGTAGCCACATCCTAAGTCTAAACCTTTGGAGGATTCTATCATGTGAATTAGGTTACTTCTTGGTCTATGTGACTGTTGACTTAAGAGTCTTGAGCTATCCACCCCCTGAAAAAAAGCAATAATCAGCTAACTTTTACTCAGTCAAAATAAAAAAGTTTCCTTTTTATGTGGATTAAATCAGCTACTGCTAGTCCAGTGTGGCTACCATTCTAAAATATGGTGGTGGTTTCTCTTTTCCCATTTCTTCGTTGTGATGGGTTTTGAATTTTTAAATTTGCTTTACTGTAGTTTACTGCAGTTTTAGAGTAGGTCTCTTACTTGGATTTTGACTTGTATGTTCCTGATTACTAAAAGAGTCGACATCTTTTCATATGCTCATTCCTATTCTTTTTTGGTCTTATGCCTATTCAAATCTTTTGTCCATTTTCTAAGCATTGGTTTATTGATTTTTTGTTTTTTAAAAATTGATTTGTAGAAGTTATACTTTTGATCCTATCCTTTGACAGTTTTGCCTTAGCTCTTTACTTTTGTGATGCGGAACTTAATTTTAATATCATTATATTTATTAATATTTTCCTTTGTGATTTACATTTTTTGCATCTTATTAAAGAATTCCTTATCTACTATGAAATTATAAAAATATTCCCCTCTATTCTGTAAATTATGAAGTGTTGAAGCCTCTAATCTACTTATAATTGGTTGAAAATATGTATGCCATAACTATGGATCTGATTTTATTTTTTTGATATAGGTAACTGATTTCAAACATATTTGTTGAAGAGTCCAGTCTGTCCTTTGAGCTGAATGTCAGCTCTACTGTAAATCAAGTTTACATTGGTCTGTGGGTATATTTTTGGGCACTGTCTACTAGTTCATCAGTCAATTTATCCACTCCCACACCGTTATCACAGTCTCTTAATTTGTTTGCAGAAGCTCTACATGTTCTCATGTTCTCTTGCTATTTACTCATATTCTTAATCCTTTGTTTCTTTAGACAAAGTAGTACAATAGAAATTAAACACAACTGAGGACTGTTAAGCTCAAAAGCTATTCTTTGAAAAGTTTGGTGGAATAAACCAGCTCTACTATGAATAATGAAAGAGAAAGAATGAATACATTGTAGGAATGGAAAATATTGCAGAGACTAATTGTTAATAAGAGCATATTATGAATTTCTGTGTCAACAAAGACATTTGTCAAATATCCGTGCACTGACCTCCCTTCACCCATGGCATTGAAGCTTCCTGATGTCCTTCTAAGTTGTATTTCTTCCACATCAATATTCTCAGAAGGGACCACTATCAAGAATCTGATGTTTCTTGAACATCTGTTTTTATTCTGCACATATATGTATGTCCCCCAAACGTGGACAAATTGATGTACTTAACTGTAAACTCTCTATAAAAGGCATCATCTACAGTATAAATTCTCCAACCTACTTTCATAGTCATTGTTTTATTTGCGAGACTCATCTGTATTGATAGGCTTAATTAGTTCTTCTAAAAAGGTTATTGTGAGGGATTCTGTTTTATGAATATACTACAATTTATTCATTTTTATGGATGGATATTTAATGTTTTTCTATGATAAACAGTGCAGCTATGACTATCTTAGACAATGTTTGTATGCTATCATTTCTGCAAGATAAGTACCTATGTACAGAATTGCTGGATGGTAGCACATATCCATCTTCGAAATTGCTTGATGTTGTCAACTTGTTCTCCAAAGTACTTCTTGTTTAATTGTTTGATTTTTTTTTTCTTTCAGTGCCTGAAGACCTCTCAATAGAGGAGAGAGAAGAACTGTTAGACATTCGTCGAAGAAAAAAGGAACTTATTGATGATATTGAGGTAAAGAAAAAAAAGACACTTGAGTAATTTGGGTAAAATAATAGAGTAGCTTCACAAAAATGTAAAAAATGAGTGTTTTAAAACATTTTTTTAATTTTAAAGGTGTGGGGTGCAATTCAGGGTTAGATATATACAATTGTTCATTATGCAGGTACCCTTGTTGATGAGGTGAGGTATGTGCCCCCCTCCACCACCTGGCAGATTTCCACTATAGCCAATCCCTCCCGATCCCCTGCTCCCCGACAGTTTCCTACTACTGCCAATCCTTTTCTTACAGTATTACAATAATTGTTCAAGGTCTGCTTATGAGTGCAAATATGTGTGATACTCAGTTCTTTTTTTCTGTGATAGATCATTCAGTATTATAGACTCTAAGTCCATCCAAGTTGCTGCAACGTTCATAATTTTGTACTTCTTTATGACTGTGTAATATTCCATCATGTATATGTGCCACATTTAAAATGGGTGCTTTGTATGTGAATGTAAGAACCACACAAAGAGACAAAGTGAAACAGTTATTCAAGTTGATAAAGCAAAGACTTTACCAGACGGTGAGACCCTGGAGTCTCAATGTCTTCAATGTCTTGAAATCAAGACATTGCGGCACTGTTAGCAGTAACCAGCATGTGACTCCAGAGCCACAGAAGCCATGTCTAAATGGCAGCCGCAACCTGTAGATATATTGTTCTCTAAAATAGCATAAGATGATCCTGTTTCCTTTACCAGTATTCCTAGCACCTAGAGCATTGCCTGTTCACTCAGATATACTTTGAGTGAATGGATAGACATTTATATATTGGGTTCCAGCTGTGTATCAAGTACCTACTAGGCAGTACGAGTAGAATGACAAATTAAACAAAGATGAATAAAAATGCAGGCAAATACACATCATCTTTTCCACATTTGTGTACTTTTCTCAGAGGAGAGGGTGGAAAGGAATCCCACAGGAAAAGCAAATGAATAAAATCATCAAACTAGAGTTGGAGTGTCTGTGATTGTTACAGAAATTATTCAGAAGGCCAGCCTTGGCTCCTTCCATTTGGGCTTCTTTGGGAAAGTGAATCAGACATGTGGCTCTTTGAGAAACTTCCTAGTCATTGTCATTGCCAAAATAAATGCGACTTCATAGGCTATTGCAGGGCCAGGCCTTGTCCTAGACAATAACTCCTTTCTAGGAGCTTGCATTTTAAGTTTGAATTTTTTTGGCATACAAAAATCGTAGAGTTCTGAATAAAAATGTCTTTGTATTTGAAAGATAATTCATGGAAATTTTTCTTCTAAGGTTACTTCTAAGGCTTCTAAGATTTCTTCTAAGGTTTTCTTCATTCTTGGAAAAATCACATAACCTAGAATAGGTTCTTTGGTTGAAGAATATGTATTATTTGGAAATTAGTAATTGTACTGCTGATTAATATGAAATCTTAATCTAGTTTTAATGCCTTAATTTTGTCAATGAGAACACTAGACCCAGGGAGGTTAAAAGCCTTCCAAAGTTCTCTCAGCCAGTAGGGGCCACAACGAGGGAAAACGGGAGGTCTGTTGCCTGGATGTTTTTGGCTTCTCTGTGTATGCATAGGTGAGCTCTGTTTTTACCCCCAGAGCTCTGTCCATCATGCTTCATCTCACACAAAATGATAGAAATCATCCTGAGACCAATGATGAGGTAGCTTGATGCCAGCCTAAATGTGTTTGAGCTTCAGCTTCTCCCCTGGTACTCCCAAGAACACAGATAGCATTGAAGGGAGGAGGCAGGTGACCATGTGTGGAGCAAAGTTGAATAATGCAGTTAAGTGAACTGAGGAGTCGTATCTTTCCTTTTGCTCGTTTTATCTTTTTACACCTGTGATAGCACAGCCCCCCCATGTCTTTTCTTGATTTTTACCCACAAATACCTTAGAATCTGCCTCTTGGACTCCTCTGATCTGATATGAAAAGTGAGCAAATAATCTTGTTTTCTCCTAAGTTGTAGTGGTTCCATGAAGCTGTAGCTGTATTGATTTTTTAAAAATATTGGTTTTTCCATCCCTATGATTCTCAGACGGGACCTCCAGGAAGCTTGTGCCTAGCAGGCTAAAATTTCTCTGAGTCTAGAGGAGGAAGGGTAAGCGACCCCCCCCTGCAAAAACAATTTTCTTCTTTTTTGACAGAGGCTGAAATATGAAATTGCAGAAGTGATGACAGAGATTGACAACCTAACTTCTGTAGAGGAGAGGTAAACAATTTATGGCTACATCTTCAAGTTAGTTAATCTCTTTTCTCCCTACCTCCACCCGCTAGTGAAACTTACAAAAACTAATGACTAGTGATGAGAAGAGATAGGGTTGGGAAGAGGGGAGCCTTTGGAGTTGTTCATTCCTCTTATCCCCCCTCATGTCTTCCTATTCCTCATGGAGGAACCAGGGAAAGTTTATCTTAGTTATTGTCTACCTTTATAGCTTCAGGAAATAAGCATAGCTACTTCAGAGTTAACCTACACAGAAATTACCAATCTGTATCATAAGAAGCTGTACTTTCTTAAAATCAATGGTTTTCATCATTAGCTTTTTCTGAAGAAATGTAACTCAAGTTATCAAATGTAAAAAAAGAGCAATGGCAGCCATGTAACTTCTGCTTCCAGCATGGAGGCTGGAGGGCTCCTCTGCAAGGGCCTTGCTTTCCCTTCCTTGAGATGTTCAGAGGAAAGATACCCTGTAGGGCTGTGACCCTGTGCCTTGGGGGAGGAGTGTAGAGTCACTGTGCTGTGAAAACACCTGTGAATGACTTTTTTATTTCTTACAAATAGCAAAACTACTCAGAGGAACAAGCAAATAGCCATGGGAAGAAAGAAATTCAACATGGATCCCAAAAAGGTAAGAGAATACTTTGTTTTCTGCCATGCAAGAGATTGAGTGATCAATCTTTTTTTTTTTTTTTTTTTTTTTTGAGTTGGCATCTCATTCTGTCATGCTGGAGTGCAGCGGCACAATCACAGCTCGCCTCAGCCTCAACTTCCTGGGCTGAGGTTCCTGAGTAGCTGGAACTGTAGGCACATGCTAACATGCTTGGCTAATTAAAATTTTTTTTGTGGAGACATGGTCTCACTATGTTACCTAGACTGGTCTTGAACTCCTGGGCTCAGGAGGTCATCCCACTTTGACATTCGAAAGTGCTGGGATTACAGGTGTGGGCCATCATGCCTGGCCTTGACTGATTTTGATGGCTCTCTCTCTTTTAGACAGAGGTGGCCATATCACTTCATAAAAGACTGGGAGTTGATGTTAAATTTGTATCAAAAAAGGAACTGCTCATGAGTTGGGTAAAGCAGAAGTATCCTCATTGGCTGACACCCTGGGCAGAAAGGCTTTCTTTCTTTTTTTTTTTTGAGTTGGAGTCTCACTCTGTCGCCCAGAGTGGAGGGCAGTGGCCATTGCCAGCCACCGCAGCCTCGACCTGCTGGGCTCCGGCGATCCTTCTGCCTCAGCCTTCCGAGTAGCTGGAATTACAGGCGCGGGCTACCACGCCTGGCTAATTTTTTGATTTATTGTAGAGATGAGGTCTCACCTGCCCAGGCAGGTCTCAAACCTGCGGGCTCAGGCAAGAAAGCCTTTCTTTCATTGTGGACTTCTGAGTGAAGAAATGGCCTCTCAGGAGCCCACTGGGACAACTTGTGCAGGCCCAGCATGGATCTAGGAAGAGCTCTTGCTGTTGAGACTTCTTTACCTGTGTCTTCCTGCTTGAGCAAGGACTGTAGCTGGGAAATTACATGATTAATAAGAGGCAGGGATAGAAGTGGAATCCAGGTATACAGAATTCATAGACTATATAATCTGGGCAGGCTAAATGGTTCAACTACGAGGACTTTATTCCATCCGTTCACCTTAAAAAGAAGGTGTCTGTATGAAAGAACAAGAAATCCTTCCAGATGTAAACCGTCTTGCTCTTTCCTCAAGTTGGATTTTTTAGGAAAACACCTGAAAGCCGTGAAATTTGAAACACGTAGCTATTTGTTTTTGAGATTCAGCTAAAGGATTTGGCAGAACCTGTAGAGCTTTTTGGAACATGTTTTGTTTTTGAAAGAAGAGTAGACCTAACTCTTTAGGGTCTAGGAGAATGATGTGTCCTTGGAAAGGTCTTCTCACCTGCAGAGCTGGTTTAATTCACTCCTTGTGGCCTTTAATTAGTGTTCACTTATAATAGTTTCCTTGTTTTTCTGGCATTGAGCCTCTGTGCTAATTAGTTAATTATTTGTTCATCCAATAAATGTTTTATTGATTACAGGAGTTATACTGTACAAGGTCTAAGGGCGGTAAAGTCACATTTATAAGTGCAAGTACAGTTGCAAATGATACCTACAGAAATCTGTGTCATTATTCCCTGCTCATGGTTTGTAGATCTGGATTTTCTTAAGGTTTAGCACATTTGCAGCTGGAAGAGGATTTTTGTTTAACAGTGGCTATACTCTAGCCACTGTGAAAATTTTCTTCTCCTTATTCCCTGCCTATGAGGTATAAATGAACTCCAAAATGGAATGAAATTGTCAATTGTGTTAATTTAGTAATGATTTTATTTTTGAAGTGGTAGTTTTCTTTTTCTTCAGGAGTTAAGTCTACAGATTGAATTGTCAGCAGCTTTAATTAGCACTGGAAGCATTTTAGGATGCTTTACAAAAGTAGATGTTTTCAGAAGTGAACCTTATGTTTCGAAAGTACACAAGTGCAACAACATACCAGTACGTTCATGGAAAAATTCTAATCTCATTAAATACACATAAATAAATACCTATTTTTTAAGTGATGCTACCATGATGCATCAGGCTTCAGTTTTATAAATGTGAACTTACCCTCATGCTTATGAAATCCTTTCTGTCAGAGGTTCTTTCCCTCTTCTTTTACATATATTATGTGTCAGATTTACAATAAGACTGAGAACTGTCTCTTAGAAACCGTGATCAGGAAGCGCTTTAATGAATAGCTTTACGAGGCAGAGAGGTTCCTTTTTCATGCCCGTCTCGCAGTTGGGGGAAATGAGGCACAGAACAGCTAATGAGCTCCACCGTCCTGAGTAGAACCTGACTCCGAGACTCGTCCCTTAACTGCTGCTGTCTACTGAGCTAGGTGGCAGCTCCTGGGATTGGTTTGTACGTTGCTCTGAGCCCAGACTGGACAATCCCAGATCATAAGTCATCCCTGTGGCGTCTGCTTACCATGTCCAAGAAAGCAAGTATTTAATCCACTTTGCCTGCGCTGTGGCAAATTGCTCAACAGGCTTCATTTTTCATTCTTCTTCCCTAAAATTTTTTTAGCATTAATTACTGGTTATATTAGACAACTTATTTGTAATTATGTTGCTTGATAAAAGTAGATGGCACATTTAGTCTGTGTGTGGCCGTTTATTTGGAAAATTTATCAGAATTCAACTCATAACTGCCCTGGATGATCTCACATGCTTCAGACACAAAATTATATCTGCCTCCCAATACTTCTATTAAACCATGTAGCATTGTGAAACATGAAAATATTGTCAGAGCAAATAAATTCCTTCAGGCTAGGAGGAATTTTTAAAAATCAAAATGATGACATTTTAAGCAGGGAGTTTTGATTTGTTCAGGCACGTTAGATTCTAGAAGTAGCATTTCAGTTTACAAGTAAATAAGAGGAAAGGTTTGTTTAGATCAAGGGAGCTGAAAACACTCTACCGTCTTTCCCTTTTATTCCTGATTTCCTAGAAACATCTTAAATAAATGTGTAAATCTATAACAAGCAGGAGTTCAATCAGTGGACTAAAAGTTGAGGAATCCTTGAAAGAAGCTGGGTGCGGTGGTTCATGCCTGTAATCCCAGCACTTTTGGAGGCGAGGCAGGAGGATTGCCTGAGCCCAGGAGTTCGAGATCAGTCTGGGCAGCATGGTGAGACCTTATCTCTACAATAAATCAAAAAATTAACTGGGAGTGGTGGCTCACATCTGTAGTTCCAGCTACTTGGAAGGCTGAGGCGGAAGGATCGCCTAAGCCCAGGAGGTCGAGACTGCGGTGGCCATGAGTGTGCCACTGCACTCCAGCCTGGGTGACAGAGTGAGACTCTAACTTAAAAACAAAATAAAACAAAACAAAAAAGTAATCCCTGAAAGAAAGACGGTAGCTGGGCTCGGTGGCTCAGCCTGTAATCCCGTGCCTTGGGAGGCCAAGGCGAATGGATTGCCTGAGCCCGCGGGTTTGACACCCGCCTGGGCAATTTGGTGAGACCTCATCTCTACAATAAAACAAAAAATTAGCCAGGCGTGGTAGCGCGTGCCTGTAGTTCCAGCTTCTTGGAAGCCTGAGGCAGAAGGATCGCTGGAGCCCAGCAGGTCAAGGCTGCGGTGGCCGGGAGTGTGCCATTGCACTCCAGTCTGAGTGACATAGTGAGACTCCAACTGAAAAAGAAAGAAAGAAAGACGGTAAATGGGATCAGTTGAAGAAGGATGCCCAAAACACATACTAGAAAGAACTGCTACAGGCAGTGAAAGCAGCTTCAGGGTTCAGCAAGCCCAGAGGTAGCAAATTCAGGGATAGGGATTGTAGCAAATTCAGGATTGTAGCAGGGACATGGAGACTGTTCACCCTCTGTTGAACTTGTGGCAAGCAGTGTTTTGTGCCCCCAGGTGGGAAAGGCAAGAGGAGCACTTAATCCATGAAATCAGACAATGTCCTAGATGACTGGCAGCACTAAGAAGGAGAGATACCTACTCTGAGCGACCAACTATTGGCTGCTGAACCTACTCCTTTGCCAAATGGCTGGAGGCAGCAGCAAGTAAAAACCAGAAGCAGACAGCAGTTGTGTTAGACTAACAGTGACCGTTAGGTATGAAAATGAAAACCCAACCAAGTACCACCAAACATTGAGAAAACCAACATTGTGAAAGAGACGTGAAACTCCACAAACAAAAGAATTAACAATGGAGGAAACACACCTAACAGAAATAATAGAAGGAAAAAATTGAAGTAGCATTTTTGTCTATGTTATAAATATAGTCAAAGCGATGATAGAATGTTTCTTATCCATTTTACAAAAACAGGGTTGTGAAGATGAACCTTAGAAATAAAAAGTAGGAATATCTGTCATAACAGCACTGGGCTGTAACAGGAAGACGTGGCTAAAGAGTGGGTTCATGTGCTAGAAGAGAGAAAATGGAAGAATCTTTTGTATAATTTTGCACAGAGCTACAACAAAATGTGTAAGATGAGTCCAGCAGTCTAAGTTTCATTTAATTGAAAGTCCTGGAAGGAGAGAGTGGAAAATTGAGGAGAAGAAATCTTGGAATATTTTAGAACTAGACTAAGATAAAATCCTCAGATTCAGACGCCCCACCAAATACCAGGCAGGATAAACTTTTTAAAGACCTACATACAGATGCATCAAGTGAAATGTCATAAAACTTGCAGATAAAGAGAAATTTATTAAGTTTTCCAGGAAGGAACAGCCAGATTACCTAAGAAGAAATGGGAAGCACAGTGAGTTTATTATCAGGGAACACTGGATAAAAGACAGTAGGAAAATAGTATTTTCTAAGGTCTGAAGAACAATGATTTAAAACCCAGAATTCTGTCCACCCAGACTATCACTCATGAGAGAAGGTGAGTAAAGATATGTCCAGACATACAAGGACTCAAAAAGTTAGCTACCAAAACCTTTGATCTCTAGTAATTGAATAATTGGAGTATTACATCTCAAAACAAGAATTGAATCTGCAGGATAAAAAAAGAAAGATGTGCAAAGAAACCAGAAAAACTTTTTATATGTTTAAATAAGAAATTGGTTGTTTAAAAAGTTTTTTCAAAGTTCCAGCTTATCTCAAGTAGCAAGGGAGAAGGATGGAGGGAAATAAAGGTTAACTAAAGTTTTGTAGATGCTGATGATGTGGGTTTTTCAGGTCAGCCTGGGCTTTGAGAGTGTCATCTCAATGGGTCAGAGAGGGTAGTCTGGAGGGACTGGTAAGCCTAGCCCCAGAAGTGTCAGCTCTAATGGGCTGCAAGCCAAGCCCCTGAGGGTGTTGCGATTCAGTGGGTTGGCCAGCCTAGCCCCTGAGATGTCTCAGCTTTGGAATTTTGCCTTCTTCTGGCAGCTCTCCTGGTCCAGCCGGCTCTGTTGACTGGCAAACCAGTCTCTGGGGTGCACGACTTTTTGGCTCTGACAATCTTCAGGATTGAGCTCTTCAGGATTGAGGTTCTTGTCTCATGCTCAGGAAGAATGAGGGACATGGACAGCTGGAAAGTGAGAAAGTAGGGTTTATTGAGGACAGAAAAGCTCCCACAGTGGGAGGGGACCTGAAGGGGTTGTCTGTCTGGGGCCAAAAACCCTGGTGCTTATATAGCCCTAATTCCAAGCCGACTGGCTAGCACTAGCTGTAGGCTGTAACTGTTCTGATTGGTTAGTATTAAGGACCAATTGGCAGGAGGTCGAGACCTAATCGTGAGCCGATTGGTTGCTTTTCGATCCCAGCAGTGAGTGCTTAAGCTCTAACCGGAGAGACTCACAGGGAGTTTGTTTGCCAATGTTGAGCCTGAGAGACCTGCCAGAAGTTCACTACATTGTTACCAGAGGACCCACCTGTCTGTCTGCCTAGGCTTTCTCTATCTCCTGTCTCACTGATAGATAAATATAAGTTTAAATATTTGTCCAAATCTTAAGAGTACCAGTAAGGATAGGAATAAAATAGAATTTCTAAATTATTAGGAATAAAGAAAGCTTTATCAAGGCTGGAAAGACGTGAAACAGCATAAAATAAGAGGTCAAGAATAAGTTCTAACAAATCAATGATCATCATAAATTTGGGCTACATTAACCTCTTAAAAGACAGACATCTTGATATTAAGTTAAAAAACAGTAACCTGCTGAGTGTAGTAGCTCATGACTATAATCCCAGCACTTTGGGAGACCAAGGTAAGAGGATTGCATGAGCCCAGGGTTTGAGACCAGCCCGGACAATTTGGCGAAACCTTGTCTCTACAATTTAAAAAAAAAAAAAAAAAAGAACCGGGCACGATGGTGTGTGCCTGTAGTTCCAGCTACTTGGAAGACTGAGGTGGAAGGATCACCTGAACCTAGGAGGTTGAGGCTGCAGTGGCCGTGAGCATGCCACTGCACTCCAGCCTGGGTGACAGTAAGACTCTGACTCAAAAAAAAAACAAACCAAAAAAAAAACCCAAAACACGATAACCTCCTACTGTCTTCTGATTGAGACATACACCTAGAACAAAGAGCGGGAAGGCTAGAAATAACGAAATAGAAAAAGATAGATGGAAGGGTCAAATGGTGTCACCCCCCCATTTCTATTATTTAATTTTCTAAATATTTTAGAATATTGAATATTCTAATCATATTGGAACATTTGCTTTCTTTTATGAGAATTTACCTAGCATGTAGTGTCCTAGAGTTGCTGTAACAAATAACCACAAACTGGGTGGCTTAAAACAACAGAAATTTATTCTCTCACAATTTAAAGCCAAGATCAAGGTATTGGCAGGATTGTTCTGTAAACTCTGAGAAAGAATCCTTTCTGTCTTGGCTTCTGGTGGCTGCTGACCATCCTGGTGCTTCCTAGCTTGTGGGCACATTACTCCAGTCTCTGTGTTCATTATCACATGGCCTTCTATGTGCCTTCTCCTCTCTGTCTCTTATAAAGACACTTGTCATTGGACTCAGAACTTCTGTGTCCTCCTCCTTGGTTTGTCTCCTTGTCTCACCCCCCCAGATGCAGTTCCCTTCTTATTCATAACTGGTCCCTTTGCCTCTGACTTTTGTCTCCACTTTCTGTTATGGTCTGTGGCCTGAACTCATCCAGGGACTCTGTTTTCTCCATGACCAGGGCCTCATTCTTTTGCAACGAAAGCTAGAACTTCACTGAGGACCTACATGGTCTTCCTTATGTGACCTGTAAGCACAGAAGAAATTACCTTGTGCTGAGCCCATTTGCTTTTCTCAAATCTTTGTGAAATGACCTAATTTTGGGGGCAGTGTTGAATGTAAAGGCAGGTCATGAGCATCCAGAAGGACTTAAGAAAGCCTCATCCCCAAGCCTATTTAGTTCCACAGGCTTGGGCTGACAATATCAGGACCTTAGCTGTGCCCCAGCCTTGTGGGCAGGACAACTAGTGCCACCTGAGGGCATCCCTGCCTACCTCTTGCTGATGGCCTCACCTTGCTCTTCTACTGGCCTCTCTTGTTTTTCTCACCTAAAGCAAATAGCAAAGTACCAGCACTGTCATTCCTGTTCCTGGCTTTTTTCAGGGAATTGAGCTGGACAGGTGTGTCTTGGGATGAGAAATACATTGTTACGGTGTATGCTTGTTTTGCAATTTAGTTGGTACCCAGGTTGGTGTACCCATTTAAACTCCCACCAGAAATATATGCTAATTAATTTAGAATTGTCAGACTTATTAATATTTTGGAAAGTAACATAAAGCATTGTGCACAAATGTTAAATGTACAATTCGAAGAATCTTTATAAATTAATGTACTCACATAACTGCAATCAAGAACAAGCTGTAGTTGTAGAACATTATAGGGCACCTTTCTGGTGCTTTCTCCTGGTGAATTCACTCCCCAAGGTATCTGGTTCTCTGTCACTATAAATTAGTTTTGCCCTTTTCTAACCCTTATATAAATGGAATTAAAATTTACTCTTCTGTGTCTTCTTTTAGTATATATCATGTCTGTGAGATTCATTCATGTTATTGAATGTTCATTCCATTTTGTTGCGTATAGTTTTCCATCATGTAATTATACCAAATGCATTTATCTGTTCTCTTATTGACTGACTGTTGGATTGTTTCCAGTTTTTGGAAATTCTAAATAAATGTGTTGTGGGTGTTCACATATTTAAAAAAAAAAAGAAATCTTTAGATGGAGCCATGGGAATATGAGGCAGCCTTGTCTTGCACTCTGAGTGTTTCAGCTGGAGGAACCTCTCTGTATTTGTAGAAAGAGCCTCCTGGCAAACAGATTCCTGAATTCCTTATTCCCTTACTAGCCTTGCCAACATGTGTTTTGAAACCATGTTTTCAAAGCTATGTCAGAGATAAATTTTTGCTATTGTTATAAGTTCCTGGGACTTCTCATGATAAAGAATACAACTGAATCAGGCCAGGGGCAGCACCTTACCTTTGAGCTTGTCAGATGTACAGCCCTCTTGGGTGGGCATGAGTTTTGACTGGCATAAACTCAGTGGTACACTGTGTCAGTTAACATGTTTTTGACCTCAGCCAAAAATCCGGCAAAAAAAATAGCTTGCACAGTGGAGATTTATCTTCTCACACAGCTGCTATGGCCATAGGTGGCTCCCAGGTGTCAAGAGTGAGGTCTCTCTCCTCATCTCAGACTTTCCTTCATAAGATAACTGCTGTGGCTCTGGCCACAGCATGTTCAAGGCAGAAAAGAGGAGGAAGAGCAGTGCTAGCTCATGGTTCCCCTTTTACCAAGAAATCAAAAGCTTTTCTTACAGACTTTTCATTTCTGTCTGTTTGGCCAGATCTGTGTCACAAGGTTATTTTTAATTCCAAAGGATGCTGGGAAAGTGACTAAGGGAAGGGTGACAGGGAATAAGGAGTTGAGATTGGTACTGAGTTGGCCAACTAGCAGTGTCTATCACTTGCGATGTGCTTCTTACAGACACAAAACAGTTTTCCTAAGCCTGAAAAATTTGATATTATTGTTACTTCTTCCTTTATAATCTCTATTAACCTCTTAGAAAGGTTTGTTCCATAGCTCTTTTTTTTTTTTAATTGGAGTCTCACTTCCACCCAGGCTGGTAGAGTGCAGTGGCATGTTCACAGCCACCATATCTTCGACCTGCTGGGCTCAGGCAATCATTCCATCTTAACCTTCCAAGTAACTGAACTACAGGTGCCTGCCACCACACCCAGCTAATTTTTTAATTTATTGTAGAGATGAGGTCTTGCCAAGTTGCCCAGACTGGTCTTGAACCCTGGGCTCAGGCAGTCCTCTTGCCTTGGCCTCCCAAAGTGCCGGGATTACAGGCGTGAGCCACCACACACAGCCATTAACTCTTTTTATCTGTCTTTTAATCTGTTAATTGCAAGGAGGAATGAACATGCTTTTCTTTGACAGATAAAATGTAGTATAGTGTGAAAGTCAGATCGTACAGTTGTGTAGGTCTTTCTGGTATTATTTTTTCTGTGTCCATACCTGTCAGATCATTATACTGAGTAGTATTTCTGCCTTTGAAAAATGAATTTGAGTGTCCCTCCTAACCAGTGCTTCCTTTCTAATGTTCTTCTTCAGGGAATTCAGTTCCTAATAGAAAATGACCTGCTACAGAGTTCCCCAGAAGATGTTGCCCAGTTCCTTTATAAAGGAGAAGGCCTAAATAAGACTGTTATTGGGGACTATCTGGGTGAAAGGTAAGTTGAAGGCGAGTGCATGGCCTTATCCAGGCTAACACTCCACTCTAGGAGCTATTACAGCCTCAAGGGTGATGCAGCCATGGACTGTAGGCATCTACATACTGCTCCTCAATACTGACTGATCCCTATGTGATCAGTCCCTCTTCTGTGTCCATGTAAAGGAGAGGTATTAGGGTGTTCTGGGGCCAGGTGGATCTGGAATTCTTATGGAATGCTTTCTCCAGGAATCATGACAGAACCTACAGTGCTGCTGCCTCTGTCTCCAGATTTTAGAAGGCATCTTAATCTTCTATTTTGAGCAGAAATACACCAAATTTCTCAGTGGTTTTCTTTTCCTTGTTGCTCAGGATGTGAATAAAAGTGGAAAGATATTACTTTTTTTTCATGTCAGACTCTGTTCAATCAGGTGCTGGCAGTTTCACCAGGGCAATTAGACAAGAAAACAAAAATAAAGACATCCAGATTGGAAAGGAAGAGCTAAAACTCTCTCTCTTTGCAAATGACATGATCATGTATTTAGAAAATCCTGAAGAATCTCTAAGAAAACTGTTAGAACTAATAAGCAAGTTCAATAAGGTTGCAGAATACAAGATCAATATACAAAATTCAATTGTATTTTTATACAGTAGCAATGTGCAAACTGAAAAGGATATTAAGAAAACAGCTCTATTTATAATACCATCAAAACGAATAAAATATTTAGTTATAAATTTAACAAAAGAGCAAAATTTTACTCTGAAAAATATAAATTTAACAAAAGAGCAAAATTTTACTCTGAAAACTACAAAATGTTGAAAAATATGAAAAGTCCTAAGTAAATAGATAGTCATCCCATGTTCATGGATCAGAAGACTTAATATTGCTAAAATGGCAATATTCACCATATTGATCTGTAGATTTAATGCATTCCCTATCAAAATCCCATCTGACTTATTTGCAGAAGTTGACAAGCTCAAATTCATATGTAAATTCAAAGGGTCCAGAATAGCCACAGTAGTCTTAAAAAAGAACAAAGTTGGAGAACTCACAATTACAAAATAGAATAAAGCTACACTAATGAAGACAGTGTGAGACTGGCATAAGGATAGACATATAAATCATGGAATAGCAGTGAGATTCCAGAAATAAACCCTCACATTTACTGTCAAATGATTTTTAACAAGGATGCCAAGACAATTCAGTGAGGAAAGAATAACCTTTTTAACAAATGGTGTTGGGACAATTGGAAATCTACTTGTAAAAGAATGACACTGGATCCCTTAACATATACAAAAATAAAAATGGATCAAAGATCTAAATGTAGGAAGTAAAACTATGAAACACCTAGAAGAAAACATAAGGGTAAATCTTTGTGATCCTGAAATAGTCAAGGGCTTCTTAGATATGACACTAAAAGTGCAAACCATGGGAGGAAAAAAATAGTTAAACGGACATCATCAAAATTAAATACCTTGTGCTTCAGAGGACATCATCAAGAAAGTAAAAAGACAACTGACAGAATAGGAGAAAATTTATAAATCATATATAAACCTGATAAGGACTTAAATCTACAATATATGAAGAACTCCTCCAACTAAGAGTAAAAATAAAAATAACTCAGTACTGTAACAAACTTGAACTTGTACCCACAAATCTAAAATTAAAAATATATATATATATAAAATGGGCAAAGGATCTGAATAGACATTTCTTCAAAGAAGATATGCAAGTGACCAATAAGAACACGAAAATGAGCCGGGCTTGGTGGCTCAGCCTGTAATTCCGTGCCTTTGGGAGGCTGAGGTGAGTGGATTGCCTGAGCCCGTGAGTTCGAGACCCGCCTGGGCAGCGAGACCTCATCTCTATAATAAATCAAAAATCAGCTGGGCGTGGTAGCGCATGCCTGTAATTCCGGCTACTTGGAAGGCTAAGGCGGAAGGATTGCCAGAGCCCAGCAGGTCGAGGCTGCGGTGGCTGGAAGCGGCCACTGCACTCCAGTCTGGGCGACAGAGTGAGACTCCAACTCAAAAAAAACCCAAAAAACACGAAAATGTTTTCTTTTTTTTTTTTAATCAATATTTTTTATTATGATATTGTGGGGTACAGTTAAGGGTTAGGTATACAAATATGCTTCGTTCAGGCACACTTGTTGATAAGAGGTATCTCCCTATCCCCAGCGAAAATGTTTTCAATGTCATGGGTCATCAGGGCGATGTAAATCAAAACTGTGATAAGATGCCACTTCACTCCCATTAGGATTGCTATAATCAGAAAGATGACAAATGTTGGCAGGGATATGGAGAAATTGAAGCTCATATACATTGCTGATGGAATATAAAGTGGTACTTTGGAAATCAATTTGGTAGTTTCTCAAAATAGGAAACATAAACTTAAACATACTACCCAATAATTTCACTCCTAGGTATATACCCAGTGCAGATAAAAATGTATGGCCATGCAGAAACTTGTGTATGAATGTTCATAACCACATTCTCATGATAGGATATATCTTTCTTTTCAAATGTTTGGGATAATGTGTATAAGGCCTAATATTTATTTTCTTTCCTAGGGATGAATTTAATATTAAAGTTCTTCAAGCTTTTGTCGAACTCCATGAGTTTGCTGATCTGAACCTCGTACAAGCCTTAAGGTAAGCATTTAATCGTACACTAGGTGTAGAACACATGAGAAGACCAGAGAACTGCTGCCTGAGAAGTAGTGGTTGTTCATTCACTCCAGGTAATTCAGAGCCATATGAATCTCTGCAGACACTGGCTTCTTGTTCCAGATGATCCCACTAATGCTGTGACATTCAGCAGCCCTAGACAGAAATCAGAACACACACTCAAGGATGGAGGTCGTGCTTTCCTCACTGTGACCGCTGGTTCTGCTTTCTAGTCAGTTTGCTTTCTTTCGTCTTTAGTGCTACTTGGCAGTTGTGCATGTACTTTCTTCCCCTGTCTGTATGGTGTGACCTCCCACATGGGATCACTTTTACCAGCTTTGATTTCAAGCACCAACTGTGTGGATGCCGCCCTGAGTGTGCTGGGGAGAATATGGACTTCCCCCCATTAGAGGCCACCTCTGGTCCCATCTTGTCCGAGGAAAGCTGGTTGTCACTGTGCACCATCTGGGATGGATGGAGGACAGCCCTCAGATACCTTCAGCAGCCCTGTTTCAGCATCCACAGTGTAGTTCCTGGACACCCACTTGAACTGCCCTCCCTGCACATTGTCTTCTTCCTACACTGCTGTCTCCTTCCTTGGTGTCCCAACTGAGCCCTGTGGGCTCTTCATCTCTTATAGGTCTTTACCCTGAATCATTACCCAGTGGCAACCAGGACACAACTGGGGGAGAGGAGGTAGTGCCTCGGGCTGAGAAAATTATGGCTATGTCTTGTCTGGTTCGTGTTCTCAGACCTTCTCTTCCATACTCTGTTCTTGTTTATGCAGTCTTATTTCCTTGTGGTCTTACCTTAGCTGCAGACTCTGGGTTTTTGCAGTCTTTCTGAGGGATCCTTATGATGCCGTGCTCAGCCTAGGCTGAACAATAATGCTTTGGTGATTAGTGACATATGAATTCTGCAGCCATAACTCAAGATAAATCAGATTCAGTATCTGAAAGCTATACATTGAGTGGATTACACGCCTGGGGAGTCTAGGTGGTGCGTTCAGCACAGCTGTCATAGTTGCAGTTCCATTTATTTTAGTCTGTTGAGCTCTTACCTAGAGTCAGAGGCCTAATAAACTCCACAGGTGTCAAACTGGCATGGCCTTGCAGTAGGCCAGGGGAGGGTATGGGGGTGAGGGAACATGAGCAGATATTGTAGCCTGAAGAGCTGCCATAACGATTTTTGACTTTTTCCTTGAGAGAAATGGAAAACCTGAAAGGGGCAGAGGCACACTGGCTGACTTGGGGCCCATCGCCTGCTGTGGGGTGATAGATGGACTGGGTGCTTTGCTGATAAGATGAGGGAGAGAGTCAGGGATGGCCCATGGTGGCTGGCCTGAGAGAGCAGAGGACAGACTGCCATGTGGAGTTGGAAGACTGTTGGCGTAGGCCAGGCTGAGGAGTCGGATCCTGGCTGAGAGGGGACCTGAATATGGCTGGATCCCAGGAAGAGAAAGTAGAGGAGAACATAGAGATCAGCCCCACTTAAGGGGCGTGCAGAGGAGGAAAAGCCCCTCGCAAAAGTGAGAGATGCATCTTGTCTCATCTAATTGCTGGTAGATCAAAATCTTGAAACCATGGACAGCCCAGAAACTTAATCGAACCCCTCGGGTCTAATCTCAGCCCTAATCCTTGTGCTCAATCCACTGCAGCATCAGACATTACTAAGCAGCTGGGTATGAGACCTCAGCTGGCTGTGGTCAGGCTGAAGCCCTGACCAGCCAGAAAATGGATAAAGCAGACAGGTGGCAGGTGTGATAGGTGCTGCGAAAAGCAAGGAAGGGAGCGTGGTCACGCTGGAGTGGGACTGCAATTCTAGGAGTGTGTCTGCCACAGCAAGGCAGCAGCAGCTTCTGGCCAAAGCACCCAGTGATGTAAGTAGGACCTTGGAAGCTGTCCTTTTGATTCTGGCTGTGCCTTGTGGTTAGGAGTTCTGAGAGGAAGACATGGTCCTATCTGTCAGAACCATGTGACAGTGGCTATGGGGCTGGGCAGGATTCTGGGTCACCTGGTAGGAGTAAGAGATGGTGGGAGTGGGGACAGAAAAGTACTAGGATCCTGGATAATATTTATATATTTATATTTATATTTTTGGTAAGAGTCTAACTCTGTCACCTAGGCTGAAATGCAGTGGCAAGATCATGGCCACTGCGGCAGCCTTGATCTGCTGGGCTCATGATTCTTCTGCCTTAGTCTTCTAGGTAGCTGGGACTACAGGCATGTGCCACCACACCTGGCTAAATTTTTGATTTATCGTAGAGATGAGGTCCCAACAAGTTACCCAGGCTGGTCTCAAACCCCTGAGCTCAGGCAATCCTCTCACCTTCACCTCCCAAGGTGGGATTACAGGTGTGAGCTACCATGGAGGATATTTATTTTTAAGACAGAGACAACAGGCCTTGCTGGTGAATTGGTTATAGCCACAAAAAAGATAGGCAGTCAGTAAATGTGACTTGGAGAAGAGAGACTCAGGACACTTTCCTTCCATTCGATAATCCCTCTTCTTCCCAGCTCTGCCCCTCCGCATCCCTGCTAGAGCCTTGCCCAGGTCAGGAGGAAAACATCCTTCCTGGGTCTGGGAAGAAGCTGCCCTTTGGGCCATGAGGCTGCATTCGCCCTCACATGGAGTCATTCTGTGTGGTTTTCATTTCCCTGCAGGCAGTTCTTGTGGAGCTTCCGACTTCCAGGGGAAGCTCAGAAGATCGATCGCATGATGGAAGCTTTCGCCTCTCGCTACTGCCTGTGCAATCCTGGGGTCTTCCAGTCCACAGGTCAGTGCAGAGCTCACGCCTGGCCCCTCGTAGTCAGAGTCTTTGGAGGAGGGGCCTGGGGGCATTGCCCAGTGTGTGTCCCAGGGACTTGCTTCCCTGAGCCAGGGCAGTCCTGCCTGTGGCCGCTGGCAGAACTCCACCACACCTCACAGGGAGCTGTCCCCTTCAGAGGCTGGGCCTGCCTGACCTCCCGCCTCCACCCTCTGACTTGTTGCAGACACATGCTATGTACTGTCATTCGCCATCATCATGCTCAACACCAGCCTGCATAACCACAATGTGCGTGACAAGCCCACCGCAGAGCGCTTCATCACCATGAACCGCGGCATCAACGAGGGCGGGGACCTCCCTGAGGAGCTGCTGAGGGTGAGCCCTCTGGGAATCTGCTTCTGAGCTGCATCTTGGGAGGGGTGTCTTTAATTTTCGTGAACATCAAATTCTATGAAAATTGGCAGTGCCAGCTTGTTATTCTCGAAGCATCTTTTGAGAGTCTTCTTGATGCCCAGGTCCTGCTGAGCTTTACGCTTGTTCTGCACATGAGAGTTGCTGAATTTTCTGTTTTTTTTTTCTCCTTGCAGAATTTGTATGAAAGTATTAAGAATGAGCCATTTAAAATCCCAGAGGATGATGGGAACGACCTGACGCACACCTTCTTCAACCCCGACAGGGAGGGCTGGCTCCTGAAGTTGGGTGAGCGGCCTGGCCAAACGGGACCCGGGCCATGGCCCCTCAGCCCATGGCAGCAGCCCCACGGGGTTCCTCCCAAGTTCATCGTAGCAAACACCCTAACTGCAGGCAGAAACATTAAAAAGAAAATGCAGTTAAGCCAAAGTCTGCTCACAGTGGCCGCACGAGCCTCCGCCAATGGCTGCTTCTCTGATGGCCGTGGCATGTAGAGTGAGGCCACCTTGCAGTGTCCACGACAGAGAATGACGCCCATGCTGCACGGCCTGTCCCAGAAAACTGCTAAGTTAGCGTCTAGATAAGTCCAGTGCAGTTTTCTGTACGAGAAGCAAGTGTGTTAACCTCCAGAGACCTGTGTGCCTTTCTCTTGGTTTGGTGTGGCTGTGATTTCTGACGAGTGGTTTAAATGTGCCTTCTTGTTGTTTTCCTTCTGCCTGTGGCTCCCACCTTTCTGTTCTGTGACGGGCTGTCCCTGCTTGTCCTGCGTTAGGAGGTACGTACCCAGTGGCTTCCTGCCCCTCCCTCAGTGGCTCATTTCTCTCTCGGTTTCTCTCCCTCACGTTGGTCTGTGTGACGCTGCGCTCTGTGGCTGCCATGCTGCCATTCGTCTGATCCATTTGGCTTTGGACTTGCTGGGGTCAGCGTTGAGCACAGTGTAGTGAATGCGACACCCACCCCAGGGGCAGGGCCAAGAGTGGCCAGGTCCTAGAGTGCATGGGGATACTGTGTGGGAACAGACGTGCCCCTCCCCCCGTGTCTCAGGCTCTGCAGCAAGCAGGAAGCTGATAACCACCCTGTCTCTGCAGCATCACCCGTCACCCCCATACTAACCAAGCAGTGCATGTCTGTACCCCCCATTGACAAGGATGTCAAATGGCCTCTATACTTTATGGGCAACTTTAGAAGTTTTTAGGGGCTTTTACCCTGGGGGGTTGGTATTGCTGCCTTGTGTGGGCAGGAAAAGCCCCAGGGTGCCACACCTGTGTCTTGTCCAAGCACGTGTGAGGACAGCTTGTTGCTGTGCAGTACGTGAGGCACCGAGGGCTAGAGAGCTCTGGCAACTTTAAATAAGATTTCATCAAAGGGGAATGAGACAGTGTGTGATGATGCGACAGGCACGGGCCCTCCTTAGCTGATAGGGTGGGTGTGCCACGATTGACGTGCCCATTGCGAGTTTTTACCTTGGCCACCGCTCCCTGACTTCGGCTGTGCCGAGTTTAGGAGAGTTTGGATGTTTGCCTGAAAACAAGTTCCACATCCTTGGACTTGGGTGCCTGAGAGACCCTGGATACACACCAGCTCAGATCACATCATGCCTGTGGTTCTGGAGCCAGGGCAGGAGAAGGAATGTATCCAGAAACACCAGCACTTGCCCTTGGGCTGGGATAGGTGGGGTATTCACTGGCTCAGATGCCTCCCTTTTGGTTCCTGCGTTGCCTGTGAGTGTCCCCTCAAGGGGCGGTGACAGTGCAGCCTGTCTGGCAGCTAGTGTGGCCTCTGCTGCCACGGAGGGGCCTGCTCTAAAGGCACAAATGAGTGAGTAAAATGAAGGAACAACAGGGTTTGTGTGGCCTAGCCCGTTTTCTGGGTGGGCAGCAAAGCAGGCCACGGAATGAATGCAGACAGTGCCTGTGGGAGCTGAGAGCTGCTGGCGCGAGCAGGGCTAGGAGAATGTGGCCTCAGCAAGGGCCCGTCACTGCGCAGGCTGCTGCTCTATGAACTGGCTTCCTTGGCCTCTCCGGCCCAGGCAGCCTCTGTCTGCTCAGCTCTGAGGCGTGAGGTGTGAGACCGAGGCTTGCAAATTGCCGTGACCCTAGATTGTATTTCCCAGTGCTGGCGGGCTGCATTAACTGGTGCTGGGTCTTCTCTCCAGACTCCTGGTGCCCAGAGATGCTTTTGCTCATCGGGCCTCCTCCCAGCTCTCTGGAGGAGCCAAGTTGTTGCCGCCCAGACCCAGCCACTACAGATGCCAGGACCGGACCAAGGGGTGTCAGTCCTGAAGGGCCACAGAGGTGGCAGATGTGCCAGAAGCTGATTCTGAAGGCTTGTTAGGTTAGCCCCAGTTGTGGGCCTTCCCCAAGGACACACAGTTCCTCCCAGCACAGGGTAGCACAGCCTGGACACTGGGCCTGGCTAGAGGCAGGCAGGATGAGTGTAGAATCTAGTACGGGTGTTTCCAAGCATGTACTCAGGTAGGAGTGTGACTGGCTTGACTGCATTCTTGTTGTGAAGTTAGTTTTAGAGCAAGTGGTCTTTTAATAGGCTTGGATGCTGTGCCAGAGAATAGGAGACTTGTGTGCACAGACCTGGCTTAGAGTTGTTCGTAAATAACTCAAGACATTGACCTTTGAGAACCACTTGTGTTAGAAGTATAAGATGTAGTCAGAGTTAGGAAAAAGTATGTCCATGTGAGTACCATGTGTACACACACATGAACATACCTGGTAGCAGCAGGAAATAGAGGGAAATGTGCAAAGAGAAAGCGTGTGTTTGGTGAGAAGCCAGGCTCCTGTGTGCAGACAGTAGTGTCATGTGGTGTGGGTGAGTCCTCTGGTGCCCTCGCAGCAGAGCCTGCCATGGTTCTGAGACCAGGGGTGCCACCCTTGCCCCCTACTCTGGGCCTCTCTGAGCTGCGAGAGTGCCTGGGCTGGGCCAGTTTCTGGAGCTGGCCCAGACAGTGCACCTCAGTCTGAACGCCCGCTTCCCTGGCCTGAGAGGTTCTCTTGGGCCCAACGGCTGGATCAAGATCGGGCTCTCCAGACATGCCGCTGACTGGTGCAGTGGGGCAGGAGTCCAGGGTGGAAGCCCTCTTGGGAGGCAGCCTGGGGATGCACAGAACACAGACAGGCCCTTCGTTATTCACTAGGATGGAAGTGCAAAGAAAAATTGCTGGTGCTGGACCGATACCTGCAGTCTTAGGGCTCCTGGGCAGTTCCCTAAGAACTTGAGGCACAGACCGGTTGGGTGGGAGGAAGGGATGACTGGCTGGTGAGGGAGCTGGCAGCAGAGATCCCTGAGACCATCCAAGGAGTTTGGGTCTTATGCTGAGCCCAGTGGGAGCGTTTGGGGGCTTCAAGCAGGGAGGGACGTGATCAGCGCCTGCTTTCCAGAAGACGCTTGTGGCTGCTGTTTGGAGCTGCAACGGGAGAGGGGCCTGCTCAGGAAGTCTCCAGAGGGAGGCAGAGGCGCCAGTGGTCGGGGAGGTCGGGGAGGTTGCTGTCTGCTGATTAAGCCATGGTGTCTGGAACTGGAGGCAAGTGCCCAGGAAGAATCAGCATTGTCTTCTCGTTCATGTGGTCTTAGGGGTGAAGATCTGGAGAGAGATGTTGGGAGAAGGAATGATACTCCAGGCTAGAGGTGTGTCTTGAGAAAAGGCCCTGTGGCAGGAAGGCATGAGCTTATGGAGACGGTTGAAGAGAGCCTCTGAGGAGAGGGGCTGCTGGAGATGCAGCAGAAATTTGGGGAGGGTTGTGGTCAGAGGGGCTTAGACAGACGCTGTGACAGGAGGGCTGGGGGTGCTGGCGAGGAAGGGGCTGTGTGACGAGTCTGCCTGGGAAAGCAGAGAGGGACAGCTGGGCGACTGGGCTGCCTCCCCCACACTCCAGTGGGACTGGCCCTTCAAACAGGCTCCCGTAGGCCGTCAAAGGAGGACGGAGGTCTGAGGGCGAGGCAGGGCAGGAGGGCCCAGACAGGCCTGAGGAAACTCGCCTGCCCTCTGGCCCTGCTGAGCCCTGGCTGAGTCGGGGCTTCCTCCCTCCTGCAGCTGGCTTCTCCGTATTTGTTCCTCGCCTTGGTCTCCACAGACCCAAGCCAGGTCACAGGCCCAGGAAGCTCTCCTGCCTCAGCCCCTGGGACATTGGTCGGCTCTAGGGGATTCTACCCAGCGTCTGTTCCTTTCCTGGTGACCCGTGTGGCTCTTCCTTCCACCATCCTGTCCCCTCCCTCAGTGCCCGAGCTGGCCTTCATGCAGGGGAGGGCATTTGACTCAGGCCCAAGGCTCCTCCCTGGCTTGCAAGTCATGTAGAAGGAGCCATGGGGCAAGGAGGCCACCTCTTACCTCATGCCCCAGTAGCGCTTGAATTTGTTCCCATGAGCATGTTTTTCTCATTGATTATTTTAAAAAACAAAACAAAAATAAACGCTTCATGTCTGAAGCAAGGGCTAGCGGTTGGAGTCAGTTTGACTATCTCTGCCGAACATTTAAGGATCAAAGAGTTTTCTTTCCCATAGTCGAAGGAGAGCAGGTACAAATGAGACTTGTGCATGTGTGTGCGCGCATGTGTGTGTGTGTGTGTGTGTGTGTGTGTGTGTGTGTGTGTGTGTGTACGCGCATGTGTCCTCCAGATCTTGTTAAAAGATTAATTCAATCTAATAATCCCCTGGGCTAAGGGGTAATTGGTTTTGATGGATCCCAGGACTGCCCAAAGTATTCAGTAATGTGATAACCACCTGACGGAACAGGATTAAGCCCTGGACAGACCCGGGTGAGCCAGCACTGACTTCATCGTGTTGTCATTTCATGTGGGGAATTACGCCCATTCCATCCCGACTAACTCTTCCAGGAAGCAGATTTGAAAAGCGATTGTGTTATCAAGGGTGCCCTTCGGCGCTGTGGAGGGGGCACCGGTGTGGCCTGGGGTGGGGGTGCATGCGGGCCCCAGCCGGACACCAGCCCCCCACTGGGAGGGGCCAGGCCTTGCCGCTTGTCCAGGACCCTGCTCGCTGTGGTCAGCACGCCGAAGGACATGTAAAACCAGGCTTGACTCCTGGTGGCCTCTCTGAAAGTACAGTGGTTGGTGTAGGTACTGGCTGGCCCCCTCCTGGGCCCTCGGGCTCTCTGCCGCCTGAAGCACCTGACTCACGAGGTCCTTCTGCTTCCAGGGGGCCGTGTGAAGACCTGGAAGCGCCGGTGGTTCATCCTCACAGATAACTGCCTCTATTACTTCGAGTACACAACAGTAAGTAAGGCCAGGCCTGCCCCTGCTGAGGGACCCTGGGGCCGGGGACCCTCAGTGAGCCCGGCTGTGTGTTTTTCTCTTGTAGGATAAGGAGCCCAGGGGAATCATCCCGTTGGAAAACCTCAGCATTAGGGAAGTGGAGGACCCCAGGAAACCTGTAAGCTGCTTCCTCTTGCCACTTCTCTCCTTTCAACCACCCGGGACGTGCACTACTGCACGAGAGCCTTCCCTGGAGCCCTGGTGACGCCTCCCTTCTCCCTCTTTCTTCACCAGAACTGTTTTGAGCTCTATAATCCGAGCCACAAAGGGCAGGTCATCAAAGCCTGTAAAACAGAAGCTGATGGCCGAGTGGTAGAGGGGAATCATGTGGTATACCGCATCTCCGCCCCGAGCCCAGAGGAGAAGGAGGAATGGATGAAATCCATCAAGTGAGTGGGGCCTCACAACCCAGGCCTGTCGTCTCCAGGTGGTTGGCTGGGGAGAGGGCACATGCGTGTGCTGCCTGGGGCCCTCTGCTTCTGTGCACAGAAGTTCACCTCCCACCTCCAGAAGCTCGCAGGGCTGGGGTCTGAAGCCGAGGCTGGCGGATTTGCATATGCTCCTGGGGGAAGGTGGCAGTGGGGAGGTTGGTGTTTCGCCCGTGGCCGGCGACTCCCCTGCCCTCACGCTTGTTTTCCTTTTTTCCCCAGAGCAAGCATCAGTAGGGATCCCTTCTATGACATGTTGGCAACAAGGAAGCGAAGGATTGCCAATAAAAAGTAGAGCTTTCCTGGCTTGAACAGGTAAAGGACAAGACCCAACCCCACCGCAGACAGTGACTGGAGGCTTCCCTGGGACACTGGCGCGGCGGGGAGGAGGCAGTCCTGCGGGTGCTCACAGCTTCTCCAGAGCGAGCACCTGTGGCCCGGCAGCATCCCTGAATCCTGGTGCTGGGCTGAGGTTGTGGTCCGCTGCGACCATCCCGGCACTCACGGAGGGAGCTGCCCAGGACAGTGCACTCCCGCTGTCTCCGCAGCGCCTGGGGAATCCGGCCCTGAAAGCCTACGCCGCACATGCGCGACTCGTGTCCCTAGGCGGGAGCCTCGCTCATGCCATGCCAAACATGCTCACGTGTGGCAGCATTAACCGTTCTAGAAGCCACCCTTTTATATCAAAACAGGAAAGGAAGAGCTTCCAATTTTTTATTCAGAATCTTTTCTCAGATATATAGGATTATAGCTTTTATATGCCTTTTTATATTCTGAAATTATAACAAAAGATCCTTTCTAACAGTAGTATTTATAGAATGGCAGCTATAAAGTTAACTCCTGGACACAAGTATATACTGTGCACTGAAAAAAAATAATATATACATGTACATATATACACACACACGTGTGTGCGTGTGTGTGCATGTGTGTGTGCATGTATGTATATATATGGCACCCAAAGGGAGGGCTGTGGGGCATGCACTTGGGCGGGTGCCATGCGGCCTGACCTGCTTGTCAGGTGGCCCAGGAGGCAGCGCTGGCTCTGGGGAGGGAGGGTCGTGAGACTTGGGGGCTCTGGGTGATGACCCCTGCGGCCTCTCTTCAACTCAGACTTTCTGGCCCCACAAATCCCTTCTACAAAAGCAAATCATTAAAATACAATGATTGTGGTTTGGGATGTTTATCCTGGAACTGCCGAATCCTAGCAAAGGAAATGGAGCTTCCTCCCTGGACACATGGTCCACATGTTGAATCACATGAGGCTGCTACTATTGGACTGTCTTGGACCCACACCGCAGTTTTTCAAACGGTTCAACTGAACACGCATGGGCCAGACCGGCTTTTGATCACATTCCTCACTATTTAAAACCTTCTGGCCAAATGCCTGTTTTGTCGTCCTTATAATTTGACCAGATTTCTTAATGTAATGAATAGACATACAAGTCACTAGAAATTATCCCTCTTGCAGTAGTACACCACACCTGCAGAGGTTTGGTCTCCCTTAGGAGAAAAGAGCAAGTCATGGGGTGCAAAAGGTGGCATTTAGGGTCTGTGCGGTTTAGAATGCTGGACAGACGCCGGCAGTGAGACTTGCGAGGCCCATGCCCGGGAGGTTGGCGAGTTGGCTGGATGTAGGGTAGGTGCTTGGTCCGTCTGCTCAAGGGAGGGTGGATCCGGGCCCTGCACATGGAGACAGCATGGGGCTAGATGAGGGCACCACGTGCCTGGCCAGGATGGGCTAGGGATGGATGCTGCTCTCTTGGCCCAAAGCTTATTTCCACCCCAGGACCCTGCTAGACACGTGGGCTGTCAAGCTGGCTTTTCCCTCGTGAACTTCCTCGCTGTGCCCACCTGCGTGGGCACGTGCACCTTGAATTTGCCCCCTTGGGAGGGCGTGTGTATTCCTGGGCAGGACGAAAGTCCCAGGGAGAGAAAACCTCAGGCTGTGTGCACTTATGGTTCATCCTCAACAGCGGAAGTAACTATTCCTGCGAGTTGCCTTGAGGCGGAGACTGAACGGCTGTGGGCCCTTTGCCTCCACATGGCTGACCTTGATGTAGCTTTAAGTCACACAAAACTGCAAAGGGGTCTGAGACCAGACAGTCTCCATCATGCACCAGACTGATCTTGTTGTTCATTCCCGTTTTTAGGCTTTGTTACTATGCTAATACCTCACATTTGAAACTTTAGTTTTCGAGAAGAGCAAGTCAGCATTCTTGAAATGCCTGACTGGTATATATGCAATTCTGGCCTCCAGTCTTCCATGAAAACAGAAATGCTGCCTGGACCCCCAGACCACACACTGGTGATGGCCAGCTCCGGTGGTGCCCACTCCTTGAGTGGGCCTCATGCCCAGGACTGGCTGCAGTGCCAGCCCTATTAGCATTTCATGTGTGGATAAGCCAGTTGTTTCTCTGATTGTCTGACCCAGGTATGAGCCTGGTAATATGAGCTTTCTGTGTTGGATGTTAGATATAAGTAGCCTGAAGAAGTCACCTGATGATAAGTCTGTTTCTCTGCTGTGGTCATCTGTGAATGAGCTTCCCCTGATGGCTGATCACCCAGAAATGATACAGAAGGCCGTCGTGCTTAGAATCTAGGTTACTTGCTACCAGAGTGTTACATGAAGTCAGCTGGTTCCAAGTTTTACGACAGTATTAATATAAAGGGCATGTAGCCATCACACCTGCGGAGCCCTCGGGCAAGCCTGGCCCAGAAACTCCCCGGGCCAGGGAGCGTGCAGGGCTGGCATGCACCTGGGCTGCTCTGAAGCGGGACAGCGGGTTCACTGTTGCAGTGGGCAGGCACGGTTTGCTGCCTAAGCTCGGCATGACCTGTCCCGTTCACCCTCTTCCCCAGCCTGTTACCGAATTATTAGTCCGACCTCTGGCCAAAGACACACATTCCTCCAGAGACAAAGAACAGTAGGCCGTGAAGGGGAAGCTAGATGGGAGATCTGGGCGGCCTCCACAGACCCTCCAGCCTGTCTTGCTGGCCCTGGTTCACGCTTGAGGTGTCACTGAACTGACCCTGGACCCAGACAAGCAAGTGTCTTTGGGGTCACAGAACGGTTTTGGGCAGTTTAATTTTGTACCAAATTGAGTCAAAATAGGGCCTATTTATACATGTATAGATGAAGCAGCACTTAATGCTTCATATAAAGCAATGCCTATTTTTAAAGTTACAAATACATATATAGATGTGCTTTGCTGAGAAGTTAGGTCTCTTGTAAACCAGGAACCACACGTTGTGATTTCTCATTTTTCTTATTTTTTCTTAGAAAACATTTCTATATGCAGTAAATATAGTAATATGTAAATAATGTAACATATATTGATTTCTGGAGTGTTTGTTATTCAATGTATATACTCCCACCCCTTGCATGAAGAAATATCCTGTATCTACTGATCCTTGGTTGTCAAGTGAACAGTAAGACCGGAGGGTGTGTGGCTGTCAAAGCTCTTGCGAATACTGTGTTCACTAAATAAAAATCCAGTGTATTGTTGCAACAAGGCTGTCCAAGGCTTGGTTTTTTTCAGAGATATCGTCAGGGCCAACACACCCTTCCGACTTCCCTCGTTCGTGGTGGGTGGGAAGCCTGGCCGAACACGCCTACTGTGGGGCTGTAGCAGGAGTTTCAGGACAGTGAGTGACGCTGACGGCAGGAAGAAGCCTACAGAAGCAAATGAGGAAAAAGCAGTAAAAAATAAGACGCCAAATGTGTAATTTGCTGCCATTTATATACTATATAAATTTTACATGCTGTATATTTACAGTGGGGCAAGTGCTTTTTTAATCTTTAAAAAAACAAAGATCAAACTTTAGACATCTCTGAACAACACAAACTGTATAAACCATACAGATTATTCAGATACAAACTGTATTACATACAGTTGTCCCCACTCCATCTCCTGATGCAGGACCAGTGAATTATAAGTGTATCACAGTTTGATAGCATATCCATATTAAAAATAAAATCACAGTATGATTTTGTCTGTAACTAGAAACTTTAAGGGACCAAGCTGACAACTCAGACTCCAATATCATAGTAAGACAAGAGACACTGTATAAAAAAGTGTTATATAATAAAAACATACTGGAGGCTTTACAAATAATGTTTGGGTTATACATTCATAATGTTAATACTCATCATAACTGGGAAATTGATTGGAACAGTTCCACAAAGTTCAAAAACAGAACTTGTCTATAAAATACATTTTCAAATCTTGAATACAACTAAAATAAGCAAATTAGTTTCTAGTATCAGACATTACCGAAAACAGACTGCTCTCGAAAGTCTAGTTAAGAGCTTGTGAATCTTTAAATAAGTCTTTAAATTAAATATACACTGTCAGTTTGTACTTTTAACAATTCCATGGTTTCCCGGTTGGTCTTGCACCAGATGTCTATCTTGGAGGAACATTACATGAAATACAAGTAATCAACCTGAGTCTGTAATTAAGCAGCATTTGAGATGTTCTATTCCAGGGCATTATTTTCAATGTGATTTATATACATCGGTATTTTACAATGGTCAGCAGTTGTAGAAAGTGTTCATCCATTTGGAATAAGGGTAATTAAGAAAAGGTAAAAACTAAAAAAAAAAAAAGTTCTCCATGGTAAAATCTGTACAGTATTTACTAAAGAAGCACCACGCAGATTTGAACAAAGTTATTTTCTCTATTTATAATTTAAGCTGGGTTTGGGATGGCTTCTGTTGCTGAATCTGAAAGAAAAGAGGCGCAGGCGTTAGTTGAGGCAGGAAGCCTTGGTGCAGAGGCCTAGTGTGGCTAGAATGGGCCTCCCCTCTCCATAACACCAGTGACTTATTCTTGGACTCCCTGGCAGCTGGTCCCCAGGTCGCTGGGGAAGTTCTTCCTTGAAAAGGTCACTCTGCCTTCCCGAAGGGAAATACGGGAACCTGGCGGTGCCGGCAGACGCGCGGCAGGCACGCCCGTGGCTCAGCCCGGGAGGCGCCATCTGCTGGCCGGGCGTGCCCACCCACCCCAGCCCAACCTGCCGCCCATCCGGCTCAATCCTCCTTTCCCTTGGGAAGAGTTCGGTTTCTTAATTAGGCTTAGGTCTTTCCTTGAAGACGCACTGATAAAGCATGTTAATTAACATCAAACTAATGTTCTCTAGACAATTCGCTCTGAAGCTCATTTAAAATCCCTCTTGCTGGCTACACATTCCAGACACACCTGGACAGGATTTCCTTTCGAGGGTAAAATGGGTTGCTTCAGCAAGGGCAGGGCATAAAGCAGAAACGACCCTCGCGCGGGACCACGGCTGTTAAAGGATGGAACACAGCCTGAACGCCGAAAGGTGCTGATCTGCTGTCAAGCACCCAACCCTCCTTCAGCCACAGTCATTTTCCTGTGAAGCAGGGAATGGTCTCGTGCCTCAGTGTGACTTCTGGATCTGTACCTGGGCCCCGGGGCGCCTAACCAAGGCATGTGCCCAGGTCCCAGGGCAGCACAGGAAATGGAGGATCCTGGGCCGCGTCTTGGGACAGGCCAACGAGGGAGGTCGGGGCGGGGAGACAGGCCGCTCCACCTCCAAATGTTTATCAAAGGACCATTGATTCTGATGCTCTGAACTTTATCGGCTTTTCTCGCGGTGAGAGAAGAGGAAGGGAGCAGAGTGATGATTCCTGGGTTAAGGGACACAAATCTTCCCTCCCCAGTAATAGAAAGGCTGGCAAGGAAAAGGGGTCTAGGTCAATCTCCAGAGGCCTGGCCTGGATCTGACCTCACCGGGCTGGCCGGGAACCCGCAGAGATGACCATCGGCCTCCCGGAGGCTCTGCCCACACCTGCGCTGGCCTCAGCCCCCAGGGCTCTGCTCTTCAGAATTAAAGCGTCTTCACCCATGTCCCCTCAGCATCTCCACAAACAATGATGAAACATCCAGATATGAAAACAGCTTACCATAACTAGTGAGTTTTTGTTTTGAGGCCGGGGTTTCAATCACCTAGAAAGCAAAGGTTAGGAAACAGATTTTAATAATTGCTCTGCAGAATTTTTAATGCCTGTGCTCTGCGTATGCATCAAGTGACTGATTACAAATGGAATCAGCTCTACGTGAGGATGAGCAAGTGGATACTGGCGCGCAGCTATTTCTCCAAGCGTTTTACTGAACCAGGTTCACGTGGTAGCTTGAGGGGCCACCGTCCCAGTGTCAGGATATATCAAAAGCCACAGCCCCGGGGAATCAATAGTCCCTCCTTGGCCCCAGCAAATGGATGTGGATTCTGACATCAGGATAGGACAGATCTCAGGCCAAATAAATTAGAGGGAAACAACTGGAGAACAAGAGTTTGAAAGAGAAAGCTAAGTGGCCAAAGTCCAGGACAGAGGAAGGCCTGGGGGACGGCAGAAAGGGCGCCCATCCCCAGCTGGGTGGGAGGGATGCTGACACGGCAAGGCCACGCCAGTGTCCTCCTCGCGAGGACGGGACAGGCTCCTCCGTCTGTGCTCACACTGGAAGTGCCGACGCAAACCAGCCGTCAGTGCAGTGGGGCCGAGGCTGGAAATGCCAGCCCCCACACGCACACAAAGCCCCGCTGCAGCACCCGAGAGGCGAGGCAGACTTGGGGGCTCACTGTCAACCTCTTTTCCCTCCAGACCAGCCACCTCTGGGGGCTGAGCTGCCACCACCGTCCACCGGCAGCCTGTGGCTTTGGGCCTCACGGCAGACCTGGGACTGCAGAACAAGCCCATCTCGCAACTTCATCGAGTTCCAGTCCAGCCTCACCAGTCCCCTCCCCCAATTCATAAACATGTTCGCATGGAACCAGTTTTAAACTGTATATAATTAATTTCTTACAAAGCAGACAGCCAACGCCATGTGAGCCTCCTTGTCGGCTGCATCAGTCACAGATTTCATCCCCAGCATCCCCTGGTGCAACTGTCCTCACAACACAGGGCTCGCCTTCATGATACCCGGGTCTCCTTCATACCGACGCCCTGAGGACCGTGTGCCCCTCAGCCAGAATCCCACAGCGACTGGGGAAGGGCCCGCCCCCTTTCCAGCCTCCGCCAGACGACAGGGCTGAGAGCCAGAAGGCCTCTGGTCAGCCAAGACGATGTGTCCCTGCAATGTCGTGCGTGCACTTTATTGGGGAAGGTGGACCTCAGGTGTCCGGGCAGGGTCAGCAAACCTTTCCTGTGAAAGGCCAAGTAATAAACCTTCTCAGCTCTGCAGGCCACACAGAGGTAGCACTGCAGCTGCTCACCTCTGCTGAGTAGCGAACACCGAAGCAGGCAGACATGTAAACAAGTGTGGCGGTGTTCCATACAAGACTATAGACACTGACATTTGAATTTCACATAATTTTCATGTCAAACAAAATGCGGTTCTTTGGGATTATTTCCAACCACTTGAAAATGTTAAAGCCATTCTTAACGCACAGGCCATACAAAGACACAGGCCAAAGCGGGCCAGAAGGCCGCCGTTTGCCAACCTCTGCTCTGGGTCCACTAGCTCCTATTACATCCATTTTTAACAAGCTCAGTGCGCCTTCCCAAGGTCAAAAGTCATTGGAAACAAATTAGAAAGGAGGAAGGGGCTGCCTTAAGTGCAGTCAGAGAGCACAAAGGGCTGCTAAATTACCAGGAAGACGCAGACATGCAAAAGAGGAATCCGAGACACCCGGCGCTGGAGTGATTTAACTCCAGCAAGAGCCAGAGACCACGATCGAATGCCTCTGGCCGAGCCGGACACCAGTGTGTTGAGTGACCCAAGTCAGCGAAGTATGAGTTAGGCTATAATCAGAATGCTACCAGTTTAAGGATTCAGGAGAGAAAAGCTTACACTGCAAAGCTATTTCAATCAAAAATGCTTTAAAGCCAAAAGTTCTGGTTCTTCATGAGGCAAACACTTATATACCCAGAGCCATACATTTCAGAGATTTGATCACACAGGTTCTGCTGGGCCCAGGTCCATGTAATGTGGCCTTCCATAAATGCTAAGGGCCAGTGCCACACAGCCAAACCACACGACTGAATCACACTCGGAGAGTCGAGGCTCGATGAAACTGGGCGGCATGCTCACTTAACCGTACACCCTTTGACGCAATTGGAGGGTTTCTTTCCATGTGTTAATCACCTTTTCAAATAAAATATGCTAAAAAATAGTTCTATCTTCTTAATTCCAAGTATCTCCTCTTACCCTGGCCATACTCAAAGAGATGACACCTGTCATCCCTGTTCTCCATCCTTAAATGTCTTGTTTTCTCATGGAAAGGTCCAACACCTTCCAGAGGCAGGCCATCGGTGTGAAGAATACCGCCCTCGGTTCTCCGGAAACAGGCAACAGTCTCATAGCTAGCAGACTTGGGTAAGTGTAGTTCTGACTCCTTAACAAAGTCCTCTGATTTTCTTGAATGTCTCTTTTTTTTCTTTTTCTTTTTTTTGTGTCTGTGGAGGTCAACCTCAGAGCACACTGCTAAAAGATCTGAATCCAGCTGATGCCTGCGAAAGGAAAAACCAGAATTCAAACAACCAAAAGAACACAACCACCTCAAACCGACCCTGGTACTTGACTTTTATACCCACTTACTGAGGACAGTCACTGTGCAAACACAGGTAATACCTAATTAAAAATCTGTTGTTTAGCCGGGCTTGGTGGCCCAGCCTGTAATCCTGTGCTTTGGGAGGCTGAGTGGACTGCCTGAGCCCGCGGGTTCGAGACCCGCCTGGGGAACTTGGCGAGACCTCGTCTCTACAATAAATAAAAAATTAGCCGGGCGTGGTAGCGTGCACCTGTAGTTCCAGCTACTTAGAAGGCTGAGGCGGAAGGATCGCCGGAGCCCAGCAGGTCGAGGCTGCGGTGGCCGGGAGCGGCCACTGCACTCCAGTCTGGGCAACTGAGTGAGACTTCAACTCAAAAAAAATAAAAACAAAAATAAATAAATAAAAATCTGTTGTTTGCTTTCACTGAAATAACTTTTTTTTAAGTCCAGGGTCATAAACCCACCAACCCAGCACTCCACCACTGGATACCCACTGCTGCCTTTAGCTTTCTCTGGAGCTAAGGTTGGTTAGCCAAAGCCCTGCAGGGAAGATTTTGCTAGCCTCTCCTGAAACCAGCGGAAAAATATTGCTGCCAGGTGTATCAGGCCCATGCGGGAGGAAGGCTTTTGATTTCCTTTTCCCTCAAGTAACCACTCCCTATTTCTGCACGGCTTTCGGTAATCTATTCCCAGGGTTTCAATTTCAATAGTTGTCATCTTAAATGATCGTAATTCTGTTCATGCTCATTCACCTCATCATGGATAAATCATTTTTCTAGACAATCACCAACCAAATTATCTTTTTATTTTATTTATTTATTTTAAAGTTTTTAAACAAAGTTTATTGGAGAGAGAAGGGAGAAAAGCAAGGAGGACATGCCAGAGCTGGCACGGATGAAAGAAACTGCTGAAATTATCTTTTTAAAAACACAAAAAACAGGCCAGGTGTGGTGGCCTACACCTGTAATCTTAGCATTTTAGGAGGCTAAAGTGGGAGGATCCCTTGTGCCCAAAAGTTGGCGACTCTAGTGAGCTGTGATCATGCCACGTACTCCAGCCTGGGCGACACAGTGAGACCCTGTTTCAAACTACTACTACTATACTACAAAAACAAATGTCTCGATTCAATTTCAAATTGAGAAACAGAGTCAGAAAAATAGGTCCAGGAAACAAATGATGTGTCTCAGACCCCCATTCTGAGCAGGCAAACATCAAGAGAACTATGCCCCCTATTTTCTGCCTACTTCAAAGTGACTGAATTTGGGAAAAATATAACAAATATAAAAACATAACATGAAAATATGAAACGTGACAAATAAGATATTAACATCAATTCTGAAGTCAAAGACTCCCAACTTGTCATTTATGGAACACTGCATACTTACTCCTAGAAGAGTTGTAAAACAATACCTGAAAATGGCAACATCGTTTAGAAAAAGGCGGTTGTAAGGCATTAACGATACCATGAAATGAAGATACAGCTCCAAAGCAGAGCTAATTTTTCAAAATGTGTGAAAATAGCGAAACCTCAAGCCCCCCGTAGAGAGGCAAAACCTACTGGACACAACTAGGCCTTGCCCCTCATCTGTTCCCAAGTCGGGTGAGAAAAGACAGACAGCCGAGCCCACCCAAGCCCGAGGCAGCGCCAGCTCCTGCCCAGGGCTGAGTGTAGTGGCCCCCAGCTCACCTGGAGTCACGATCTCGGCGTTTGTCTTTGGATTTCTTTTTCTTCTTTGATTTTTTGTGCTTCTTCACTCTAGGCTCCTCTAAATGGTCCTTTTGTAAGCTTCTCTGGGCTTTGTTTTCTACGTGACTGTCGTTACTTTCTACAGTATCAAATCGCCATTTCCGTGACTTTACATTCTCATGTTCGTGAAACCGATGAGAGAGGCTGCAAGTGTTGTCCTCGGCTACAAGTGCAATTTTGTCATGGGAGAACTTCTCGGGGTACAGGGAGAGGGTGTGGGGTGGGGCTGCTCGGGGACTGCCAAGATGGTGCCGCTCCTTCTCCTTGGCGGCCTCATAGCCCTTGCAGTTTCTGGAGTAGTCCTTATGTGGCCGGTCACCGTGCTGCCCAACTCTGTCAGACTCACGGCCGCGGTGGAAAGGTTTCCACGCCCGGGCCTCCCTGGCTGTGTAAGGGGCGTGCCTGTCATGGTAGTACCTGCATTTTTCCCATCTCACTTTATCTGGGTAGTACTTCTCCCGGCTCCAGGCGTGTTCGCCTTCCAAATGGTGGTATCGGCTCCAGTCCTGCTCGGATCCGTTTCTATTTCGAGAGTGGTGGTGGCCGTACCTGCCCTGAGAGCGGTGCTCACTGGGGCTGACTCTCTCACCATGACACGGGTGGTGCTGGCTCCCGTTGCAGTGCTCTGCGGTGTAGCGGTCCTGCCTGGACCGCGCTCGGACATAGGAATGCCGCTTTTTGTGGTAATGGTCCTCAGTCTTATTCCTTTTCCTGGCATGTTCGCCACTGGAGGAGCGATCTCTTCTGTTACGGTAATGTCCTAGGTCAACCTTTCTGAGGCTACTGATTTTCTCCTTAACCGGAGAAAGATCCTGGACTTTTTGCCCCACCTTCCTGTCATCACCTCTCTCCCCGTGACTTGGTTCGGTGCCCCCTTCTGAATGATGTCCTGTGGTCCTGTCCAACTGAGGAGAGGGCAGCCTGTCTGCAGACACGCCTGTGTTTTGGGGAAGGCCTTCCGGGTCCTCACACCTGCTACTGAGGTAAACTGAGAGCTGATGCTCGCAGGGCCCCTCAGAATGCACCGGGGGAGGTGGGTCTGACTTCTCCATGGCCTCCGTGGACAGTGACTTCTGTGGACCCTCCACTAAGGTCCCCTTCATGTCGTGGGATGGTGTGCTCTGATCGACTGTTAGGCTCCCAGGGTCACACGGTTTAGGAAGCAGATCATCCACCACGGGATTCTTGGTGGTGTCGAAAAGGCTGCTGACACTGGGCAGAGGCTCATCAGGTGTCACTGCGGTGTTCTCAGAGGCAACTTCTTTGGTAGCATTGACACTAGGGTCGGTGGGCAGCAGAGCCGTCTTCAACTTGCCACTGAAGCTTGTGACAGCGTCCAGCTCCTCAGGGTGGTCGGCGGCGGGGCTGGCAGCCTTGAGCTCGGTGTCCTGAGCCTCAGGAGGGTTTCTCTCTGGTCCAGTGACACTGCAGCCCCCACCAAAACAAATAAACCAACAGTTAGCATGACTGCCTTACAGGTTTTTGTCACTGGCTCCTAGGAACAAAATCTTCAAAACATTCATTTACAAACTAATACTTTTTACTTTAAATATATATGACTAACACCTAGTATCAGGCCTGTCAACTCTGGAAGCTTCAAATTTTCTCTTCCCCTCATTAAAATAAAAATAAAATTTTTATCAAGTCTACCTCCTATCCTGTTTTTCAGCAACACTAACTCTGCAGTTCTAGGCTCTTCCTATCTCCAAACATTACTTCTATTTATTCTTAATAACTAAGTCTAAGCAAGTCAAATGATGATGGGGCCTCTTTCTTGCTCTCTGATCTCCTTTCTCTGAATTTCTCTCAGGCTCAGAATAAGGCAGCTTCCTGCAAACAGAGCCGGCAGCTCCCTGAGTGACTGAAAATGATGAGGAATCACCAAGGCTTGAGAAAAAAAACTTTCTGTAGCAAATTAACTCTGCCCTTAATTGTTGTACAGCTTCAAAGTCAATGAAAGCTGCCAGGCAACAGTAAAAACCCTACAGTGGTTTCCATGTTTTAGAGGAAATTCATCTGGGGGAGACAATACATACGAAGTCAACAGAGAGGAGCTGCCTGGAGGGTGGAAGGGTGTTCTCATAGCAGCACGTGAAGCTACATGTGCTTGGCTGCAGCATGTAAGTGGCTTTGCTTATAAACCGCCCATGAGCACTCTCGTGCACATGAAGTCTGAGAACCACTAAGCCAGATCAGGAAAGAAACAAGAGGAAGGTCACTATGACCGAGCATTCAAGCTATTCTACCTTTAAGGTGAACTGGGAACGCATGTTCTTTCTTGCAGAATTTATTCCAGTCCATTTTAATAAGTAAGCCTTTCTGATGGAGGGTCTCAGTGGGGGTACTCCCACCTGCCAGAGGCCATTTGGGGGCTGCCACAATGATGGGGAGCCCCACCAGCACTATGGGTGGGGCCCACCACATGTCCCACATGCGAGCAAGTGTCCTCCTGCCCACAGGTGCCAACAGCCATGGGGGTGAAAACCCCAGGTATTATATTATTGGCACAGTTTTCACTGACACTAAATGCAACTAAGTGGGACTACAGGCCTGCACTACCACCATGCCCAGTTAATTTTTATTATGTTTTGTAGAGATGGAGTCTTGCTATGTTGCTCAGGCTGGTCTCAAATTCCGGGCCTCAAGTGATCCTCTAGCCTCAGCCTCCCAAAGTGCTGGGATTATAGGCATAGGTATCCTGCCCAAAATAAATTGTTTTGTGTTTTAAGTCCAAGTCTCACTCTGTCACCCAGACTAGAGTGCAGTGGCACGCTCACAGCCACTGCAGCCTTGACCTGCTGGGCTTAGGGGATCCTTCCCCCTCAGCCTTCCAAGTAGCGGAAACTACAAGTGTGTGCCACAATGCCTGGCTACTTTTTTGATTTATTATAGAGATGAAGTCTTGCCAAGTTTCCTAGGCTGGTCTTGAACCCCTGGTCCCAGGCAGTCCTCTTAAAACAAGTTCAATGTAGCCCTAAATGCACAGTGTTTTTTATAAGGTCTACGGCAGACTTTATAAGCATACTTTATAAGTATACTTTTATAAGTATAGGGTTTACAAGTATAGTATAGTAGCAGGCCTTCAGATTCACTCACCACTTACTCATTCACTGACTGACTCCCCCAGGGCAACTTCCAGTCCTGCAAGTTCTAATCATGGTAAGTGCCCTATACACATGTACCATTTAAAAAATCTTTTATACCATATTTTTACTCTACCTTTTCCGTGTTTAGATACACAATTCAACTGAGTTACAAATGCCTATGGTATTCAGTACAGTAACATGCTGTACAGGTTTGCAGACTAGGCACAATAGGCCATACCATATAGCCAAAGTATATAGTAGGCTGTACCCTCTAGGTTTGTGTAAGTATATTCTGTGATGTTCCCACAATGACGAAATCACCTAATGATGCATTTCTTACAACATATCCCTGTTATTAAGGGATACGTGACTGTATTTGCTACTTGGTGGTGTCGAGAACTCTTGCCCTATAACCTTAATACATCTCATATATTTGTTCCTGATTTAAAAAACTAAATAAGACAGTGCTTGATATCAAATTCCTAAGTATGCCACTAACACAGCTAGCCAGAGAGAAGAGGCTAGACAGAAGAAAGTGTCAACTTGAGCACATCAAGTTTTCATGGACTCAGTCTCATATGTTGAATGCTTTATTTTCTCTTCTAAAAGGCAAGTTAACAAATTATATACATGATTATTCAAATCATTCCAGGATTCAAAATGTTCATTATAAAACATCTATAGTGTTAAAATACTTACCCATCCACCGACACAAGCGGACTGCCTACTATGCAGTTTCACTTCCTTCTAATTTATTCTTACTTTACCTTGTTTCATCCGTTGAGCCTTTCACTTTGCTGCTAAGTTTGAAGGTCTCTAAGATTGTGTCTTCTGGGAGAGACGGCAAAGGAGCAGGAATCAACTACAATAAAAAACAGGTATTTCAACTCTAGTTGCCAACCCCATGCCTGCCATAAATGAGACTCAGAGAAAGCCTGTCCCCAACCCTCCCAACGCTCACTCACCTTTCCAGGAAGACCATTCACCTTGGGAAAGGGGTTTTCTGAATGCAGAGCAGGCTGGATTTGGCAACCGGCATCATCAAACGGCAGACCGTTTTCTTTCAGGTCGCTGTCCATGCTATTAGCACCATTTAGAGTGACAGGCTCTTGAAGCTCATGCTGAGAGCCCTCGTCGTCCTCAGCTTCGTGAACGGAAGAGGGAGAGCTCGCAATCGTGCCAACGCCGTTCTCCTTGCCTAGGCCCTTTGACTCCTCATCAGACTCTTCAGATGACTCAGCGCCATAGGGGACCAGCACGCTTGAGTTCAGCTTGGACTTGCCATTCATCGCGGGCCTGGAACAGGACTCACTGGGGGCAATCGATTTTGTCACTTTACTAGAAACGGACGTTGTAGATGCATTCGAGGTAGACTGCACTGCAGAAGAATTGGTGATGGTAGAAGAGGGAGCAGGCTTGTGAGGGTTCTCCAACGAACTGCTATGAAGGTTGGGCTGAGACTGACTTTGGCGACCAGGCAACTTGTTGTGAATACTGATTGTGATTTTTTGTTTCTTGGGATGTTCTGGAATCACCGAGGACCTGTTGACTGACCAGTTTTGGACAGAAGTTGAAGCGTTAACAGGACTAGCCCTGTTGACATTGGAATTTCCATTAGGACTCGACATGGAACTGCTTGGTGTGTCTTTCAATGGTCCGGTCCCATTTAAGAGAGGTGGATTCTGGAGGTAAGAAAACCACAGCCAGGTCATAGCTCTAGAAACATGGTCACAGAAACAGAATCCATCTTGGGCTTATGAGCCCTTCCCATTTCAGTCTTTTTCTTTTTATGACTAACAAGTTTCACACATTTAGAAACTCCTCTCTCTTCTCTCAGTCTGCCCCTACCCACACATACCTTTCATAGGTCCTAGTATTCTGGCAATTAATCAACAAATAGGACATATATATTTGGCAGAATACAACCCCCAGGCCGATTATTTCTGTTCCAAATCTGGCAGAACTCAAACAGACCCCTTTGTGCATGGAGTCACATGTGTGCCCTTTGGTTGGGTTTCTTGGGAGCCCACCACTGCACAGACAGAAAGTAGTACCAGGAAGCAGGAATCACCCTGGCCTCGGAGCATGGAAAGCAGTCACGTGGGTGGAGGCTGCTTCAGGAGACACTAAGCCATGGCTCCCCCACCACCACCCATGATGGCTCCACATTCTACTCATACAGGTTTCCACTCCTGCTGCTATATCTCCATGGTGGCTCAGGCCTGAAAAATGGTTTACAGATGAACCATGTTTGAGCTTCACAATGTTTTCTTCAATATCTGAATAGCTGCTATCTTAACACTGGAAAGCTTCATGGTAAAAAACAAAAGCTCTTGAAAAATTAATGCCAGCCACCCCTTTACACAAGGCACATGCTCTCCAGTTTGCCAGTTCCCTGTCTCTGAAGCAGAGCCCAACCAAGGAGCCCGTTGTCTGCCCAGCTCACAAAGGTACTTGATTCGTGACTTCTGTTTTAAGCCATCTGCTGTCCATGAAAAGACACACACAACTAGACAATCTATACGGTAAGTCAAAGCAAACTCCAATGGAAAAAGTGTTAAAGACACTACAGCACAAACGATGCAAACATGCTGTGTCCAATCTCTCACGAGTCTGGCAAAAGCGAGGCCCCGCTCTAGAACACAGCACCACGCGACATGGGCTCACTGCTGCTCTCCCCGGTAGGACTATCAGGGAGTAGGTACCACACCCAAGCAGACAGCAGCTGGAATACACCACACCACTGAAACAGCTAAATGGACGTAACTAAAGTGTCCTTGTAAACAGGTCACTTTACTGGAATCCAGCATGAAGTAAGAATTCCCAAGTGTTTAACCCTTTGTGTGGAACAGAAATCCAAAGTGGGAGCTAAACTTTAAATATACTTTCCCAGACTTTCCTCTTGGTCACTGATGTTTTCTGTATATTGGTAATATTTCCTAAGAAAGCCTCGAATAAACCTTTCTGACAAGAAATTCAGTTGTATATGAGGACATAGCAACTACTACGATGTTAACTTGAGGGTTTGAAGATCTGTTGAAAAGTTAACATAAAAACTATATTCTCCCTATGAAACATTACCTTTATCATGTGAGAGGGAAGCTGTGGTCCGATAAATCCTGACGCAGCCTGTTTGTTGGTGACAACCCGCTGACTGATTACTGGGCGGGGAGAGGACTGGCCAGGGTTAGGGTGGGTGGAATGAGTAAGTTCACTTCCATTTTTCACATCATGGGACCTGGAGACAAGGAGAGTAATATGCTTAGGGTGACACAGAGCTTCTCCTTAGAAGAGATTCATTTACAAATTCAGCAGCACTTAACCCCTCAGGTAGAAAACTGATTGAAAGAAATAGCACTTTTATGTTCTATCCTAGAGAGCTATGTACATGTTCTCCTTTAGGTTTAGGAGAATGTCAGTACTCAGATCAGGAAGCAACAAGGGTAATTGGGGAAGGTAACTAGATAATACAAGGTATTCTGAGGATGCTAGTATCTGAAAGGTATTTTTCTTTTCTGTTTACCCTTTTCTAATTATAAACATATGCCATTGTTGAACATCTACACTGTCCAGAAAAGTCAGGACAAAGCCCCACTCCTCACTGCGTCCCTCAGACGCAGGTCCTCTGATCGCCCTCCATGCTTCAACCCACATGGCTGATGCAACACCAGTGTTTGATATTTCAGTGTATGGATATGATTGTTCTGCTGCTATTGGACAGTTTAGGGTATTCTTAACTTTCAGCTATCAAAAAGGGAGCACACATCTTATTTTTCCAAAAACGGAATTAGTGAGGCAGAGTGGACAGTCACAACAGGACAGACCCAAGCGCTGGTGCTGGCCCAGGCCCCGGCCTGGAAGGTAACTGACTGACTGCCTGTGCTCGGCAATTGGGAGATGCTGGCTGTGACCACATCAAGTGCTCAGAGTCCTTTTCCTGTGGCCTCCACCCACTCTCACCACATCCCCCAGGCCCACTCCATCTGCTGCCAGCAGTTGGAGCCCACCTGCCTTGATTATCACCATTTCCTTCCTCTGTCCCTTGTGCTGGCCGACCCAACAGAGGAAAGCTAATGCAAACTCATAATCCATACTCAGAAACTACCCTCCCTCCTGTCAGGCACTTGGCAGAATTCACCTTTAAGCTCCTTAAAAACAAAAAAATCTCAATATTGAACTTAAATACATTGATGAAAGGAGAAGAAATGACATAACAGAAAACTCGACAATCTGTTTTCATGACAATACCTGATATAAAAGAGCACATAAGCTTGTTGATTGAGTACTGATCTAATATCACTAGTAGATACAATGGAGTCATTCATTTGATACCAGAGGCCATTGCTAGCCTGCAAAAGAGGGCCAATAAAAGAGAGAGATCAGATTTAATTAGAAAAACATGGAACATAGTCAAGAGAAATATTTTTTAAATGGGCATGCACATTTTACCTGTAGAAGTCCCACCTTCCCCGCCTCAAGAATGCTAGTGCAGTCTTATAGCATATATGTAACAACAGTTATCAGCAAAATCTGCACAGCTTACTTTTATGTAGCAGAAGTAATGGCCAGCATGGCAATTAAAACCAGTGTGCACCAGCACAGCATACAAGACATAGACAATCGGCTCTCCGTTTGGTTGAGACATATATGGCCGAATATCAAGATACTCAGGATATTTCACATCCTAAACCAAAATGGAAAAAGAAGAAACGTCATTTCTAAGGGCACACCCAGCATTCCCCATATCTAGGTAGGGCATATTTAGGACACTACATCCTGTGATATTCTAGCAGAAACCTAATACATTTAACCACCTTTCAAAAGAGTTGATTAACTGGGAGAATACCTGAATCTAAGTGTATTTAAGGTCATCCCATTGCATTTTTTTTTTTGAGTCAGGGTCTCCCTCTGTTGCCCAGGCTGGAGTGTAGTGGCATGATCGTGGCTCACCACAGCCTTGACCTCCTGGGTTCAGGTGATCCTTCTGCCTCAGCCTCTCAAGTAGCTAGAACTATGGCCACACAGCACCATACCTGGCTAATTTTTAAAATTTTTTTGTAGAGACAAGGTCTCACTACATTGCTTAGGCTGGTCTCAATCTGGGCTCAAGTCTTACCCTTCCACCCAAGCCTCCCAAAATGCTGGGATTATAGACATGAGCCACTGTGCCTGGCCCATTTTTTATTCCCTTTTTAACAAATAATGATTCACATTAAGTGAATTCTTCAAACCCATCAAAGGAGATAGTCACAGAATGACAAACTCTGGACATTAATCATTGCTTATTTTTATTTTGAATAATTCAGGAACGGACTGTTTATTTCTCCTGCATACTGCTGAATTTCGACCACTTTCAAGCCTTTAGAAAGTGAGAAGAAAATGAGGAGATTCAGCATACTACTAGCCAGAAAACAAATACAAACAAGAAAATGAACTTTGAAGAAAAAGTGGCAAGGTCTAGCAGGAAGTCTTCTTTGGATTTCATATTATACAAGCTCTCCCTATATCCTCTCATAACCACAGATAGCATAAAAATTGACAGTGAAGTCCAAATGTAGATAGTAGTTAAAGTTTTATCACTAGAAAGTCTAGCCAGCTAAAGGATATAGTAAAAACACAAACACTCATAAGTGTGTATACCAAAATACTGTCTCCGTTCTTTGACCGTTTTTTGCTATCAAATGCTGACAGAAATTCAGAAAACTGGTCAACAAAACTGTTCAATTAGGTCATTTATAACCCTTAATAGCTACTGACACTTAAGCCTTGAAAGGCTCAACAAACGATTATTGATTATATCGACATACCTTAGCAATTTTTCCACCAGTAAAATTTGCAAAACGTTTCAGAGAAAGTGTGAGAACATTAGAGGATCTATGTATGGTGAATCTCTTTGAAGCTGGAACCATCTTTTTACACCTTGAAATAAACAAAGACAAAAATTTAAAAACATGAATTATTATTATTATTTTTTAGTATTTTGGTCTTTCCCCTGTTATTTCTCTCAAGCATTCTAAATTAAGTTTCCAAAAGAAGGACACTGGATGAGAAATACTACCCCCTCAACCAACAGTGGAAACATTAAATTAAAAATACAGGGAAGGTTGAGCATGGTGGTTCACACATGTAATCCCAGCACTCTGAGAGGCTGAGGCAGGAGGATCACTTGAGGCCAGGAATTCAAGACCAGCCTGAGCAATATAGCAGGACCTCATCTCTACAAAACCAAAAAACCAAGAAATTAGCCAGACATAGTGGTGCACTCTCCCAGCTACTCAAGAGGCTGAGGTGGAGGGACTGCCTAAGCCCAGGAGGTTGAGGTTATAGTAAGCCTTGATCGCGCCACTGCACTCCAGCCTGGGTGACAGAGTGAGACCCTGACACAAACAAACAAACAAACAAACAAACAACCCCCCAAAACAGGGAAACCGCTTAATTACCATGAAAGGAAAGGAAGCTAGGACAATTCTGAAAAACCAAGTCATGTAGGTCACCAATAATGTTATAATTGGGCTAATACAAGTTTTTCCTCAATCCATAACTGAAAAATGAATAGATTTTCAGACTGGTATAATTATGTGAAAACAAAGCCCTATCCAGATTCAAAAGGAAGGGAAGATTAGAAATATCTGTGCCATTTAAAAACAAAGGAGAAACCTTTATGATCTTGGAGAAAAGGGGGGAGATTTTCATTTCCACAAAATGTACATTTGATAATAAAAATTACCTACTGCCTGACTACAAAGTAGACATCTACTTAATACATATGAAATAGGGCATTCGTAAAACAGGCCCTCTTGATTTCATGGGGAAACATATTAACGAATAATCAAAATTAGAGGTTTCCAGCAGATACCACCCCAAGAAGGGAACCCACCATAAGAGAAAGATCTTTATCCTGGGAGAAAGTGACCCTCCACCCTACCTCCACTCTTTGATAACAAGAAAGTCAATGAAAATGCTGCTCGGCAGACATCATCCCAAACTGCAGTTATGAGGCAGTACTAACATGTGGTGCATAGATTATTTTCTCTCTCTCCTCCCACCAAATCTGCCCAATAATGATGTACCTGTCTCCCAAGGGCACAGAGCTGCACATCTTATAAGAAGTATAAACACTGAGACACTGCAGGCTCTTGACTTTGTATTAGGTTGGTACAAACGTTAATTGGGTTTTTTGCAGTTGAAATATGTTTTGATATTGAAATACGTTCTTAAATGAATGTGGTTATGTTATACATCATTTTAATGCATACCTCTAGCTTTTTTTTTTTTGGCTAATGACTTATTACTTGCTTTTTTTTTAAACATTTATTTTAGACTATGGAAATGAAGTTAGACCAAAAGCAAATTCAAGCGATTTTTAAATTCCAGTTCAAAATGGGTTGTAAAGCAGCAGAGGTAACTTGCAACATCAACAACGCATTTAGCCCAGAAACTGCTAACAAATGTACAGTGCAGTGGTGAGTCAACAAGTTATGCTAAGGAAATGAGAGCCTTGAAGGTGAGGAGCATAATAGCTGGTCATCAGAAGTTGACAACAACCAACTGAGAGCAATCATCAAAGCTGATCCTCTTATAACCACACAAGAAGTTGTCAAAGAACTCAACATCGACCATTCTATGGTCATATGGTATTTGAAGCAAATTGGAAAAGTGAAAAAGTTCCATAAGTGGGTGCATCGTGAGCTGACCGAAAATCAAAAAAATTACCATTTTGAAGTGTTGTCTTCTTTTATTCTAGGCAACAATGAACAATTTCTCAGTCTGATTGTGACATGCGATGAAAAGTAGATTTAATTTTTATTTTTATTTTTTTTTGAGTTGGAGTCTCACTCTGTCACCCAGACTGGAGTGCAGTGGCATGCTCCTGGCCCCACAGCCTTGACCTGCTGCGCTCTGGCGATCCTTCCACCTCAGCCTTCCAAGTAGTTGGAACTACAGGCACGTGCTACCACGCCTGGCTAATTTTTGATTTATTGTAGAGATGAGGTTTCGCCAAGTTGCCCAGGCGGGTCTCGAACCCACAGGCTCAGGCAATCCACTCACCTCAGCCTCCTGAAGTGCAGGATTACAAGCTGAGCCACCGAGCCTGGCTGAAAAGTAGATTTTATACAACAACCAGTGATATTATACGACAACCACCTCAGTGGTTAGACCAAGAAGCTGCTCCACAGTACTTCCCAAAGTCAAACTTGTATCCAAAAAAAAAAGGTTATGGTCATTGTTTGGTAGTCTGCTGCCGGTCTGATCCACTACAGCTTTCTGAAGCCCGGCGAAACCATTACATCTGAGAAGTATGCTCAGCAAATCAATGAGATGCACTGAAAATTGCAATGCCTGCAGCTGGCATTGGTCAAGAGAAAGCGCCCAATTCTTCTCCACGACCTTGCCTGACCGCATGTCGTACAACCAACACTTGAAAAGTTGAACAAAATGGGGCAGCGAAATTTTGCCTCATGCACTATATTCACCTGCCCTCTCATCAACCAACTACCACTTCTTCAAGCACTTTGACAACCTTTTGCAGGGAAAACACTTCCACAACCAGCAGGTGAATACGCTGGTTCACCTGCAGCCAAAAATGCTTTCCAAGAGTTCATGGAATCCCAAAGCATGGATTTTTACACTACAGGAATAAACAAACTTATTTCTCATTGGCAAAAATGTGTTGATTGTAATGGTTCCTAGTTTGATAAATAAAGATGTGTTTGAGCCTAGTTAAAATGATTGAAAATTCACAATCTCAAATCGCAATTACTTTTGTACCAACGCAGTGTCTTCCCAGATGGTATCAGCAACTAAAGGCAATCCAGTAGAGGCATTCAGACACACCAGACTCTTTCAAACCAACCTTCCTGGCCATCCCCATCCCACAGGAGCAGTCAGCAGTAAGAACTAGCAAGTCACCACCCAACATACTTGCTGCACTTGTAAGAGTTTTCTCCGTCAAGTTGTTCTGGCTTCACAAATTGCTCTAATGCTTTGTTAACACTCTGAGCAGCCTGGGAAGGGAAACAACATAAACAATATATTACCATACACTGCCACTTTAACAAAAAAAAGAACAGAAGACTCCAAGATATAGAAACAAATGAGAATCTTTATGAAAAAATAAAATTTTCCTTTTGTATATGTTCACTTATATATAGCTACATACCAAATTATTTTCCCACCATTAAAAATGAGCAAACCTGAACAAAGATATAGAGGCTGCTCACTGCAGCATTACCCTAAAATGGCATAAAACTGGAAGCAAACCAAATATCTACCAGAAAGGAACTGGGTGTATGAATTATGGTATATCCATTCACTGTATGACATATGTCCCAAAAAACACTGATGCAGAAAGGTCCACAAGCAAAATTACATGCAAACAGCAAGTGGCCAGACAGACATTAGGCAAATCCCATTTTTATAAAAAGTAAACAATATATTCTGGAGGAGTATATATCAAACTTAAAAAGAATTAATTCTGAGGGATAGCATTTTACATATATCTGAAATGTTACTCATTTTTATCATCAGCATGTATTGTATTCATAATAAAGAAAAATGAAAGCTCAAGAACAAAAAAACAGGAATTTAGAAAATGCAAGAAGCAAAACAATTTCTAAAGAATAATAACCACCCATGTTTGGCTAATATAGTCATTAAAGCCTGGTTTCATTAAGACTTATTAAATGAAAAGTCAAAGGGTAATATAAAGATTGTTTTGCCAGGCATGAGGGCTTGTGCCTGTACTCTCAGAACCTTGAAAAGCTGAGGCAGGAGGATTACTTGAGACCAGGAGTTCAAGACCAGCCTGGGCAACATAGCAAGACCCTGTCTCTATAAAAGATTATTATAAAATTTTAAAAATTAAAATTAAAAAGATTGTTTTAAGTTTTTTTGATGCCTATTATAAAGCTTGAATCATCTCTTCCAAATGAAATGTTAGCATATTACAATTTTCAATTATTTTTTAACAAGCAGAGCCTAAATTATAAATGAGCTATAAATACATAATGCTTATAAAATGACTTATTTTTTTCAATGAAACTATCACAATTATCAAATTTACCTTTATCTCCAATGTTATATCAAGATATGGGTCGAAAGTATCTGAAACACCCTTGCAATTTAAACATTTGACTGAAATAAAAATAAAATGCAAAGGATAAGCAAAGTGTAATCATTACAGCAGCACCAACTATTGAAATGGCAGAATCCAAATACTATTTCCAAACTGAAGATTTTTTAAAAACATAATTTTTTCCATCAAATTGGTAAAAAAAACATTAATACTACACACAATATGGGTAAAGTATCTTGAGTTTGGCACCTTATATGCTATTGGTTGGAAAATAAATTGGTGTAACTTCTTGGAAGGACAATTTGACAGCATTAAAATTGAAAATACACACACCCTATGATACAGAAATTGTAATACAAAGAATTTATCCTACATATTTACTTTTGCATAGACACAAAGGTGTGTGTACATGGATGCTCAAGGAAGCACTGATGGTAATAACAACCACAAAACAGAAACAACATAAATATCTATCAAAAGGGGACTAATATAAATGGAATACCATTGCAACTATGAAAGACTTTGTTAGACATGTGTACTGAAATGTAAAAAGATTGCTAATATTGAGAGAAAAATGAAAGCAAAACACTGAGTTTGTTCCCAGTTTGCTCATGCATAGGACACTACTGGAAATATTTTCTACAAACTGGTACTGGGATTGCCTTTGGGGAAGGGGAATAGGAGTCTGGGCTGGAGGAGATGCATTTTCATCATCAACCCTTCCCTGCTGCATTTTTTTTAGCCACATGCAAGTATTGCTTTATCATTTTTTAAGCAAAAGTTTACCTCTAGATCTTAGGTATCCTCCAAATATTTGACAAACAAGAGTGGTGGCCTGGGTGTGTCTGTCTAACCTGAAAAACAGTCAAACAATAACATGAGAGAAGAGTTCTGCAAAAATCACAGACACTATAACTAGATTTTAAAAGCATGTATATTTTTAAAAGAACAAGAATTCAAACAGGAGAGCCACAAAAAATTACAAGATAGTGTATGTGGCAGCCAGAGAATAGCCCTCCCTGTCCAGAACACAGTGAGGATATGGGAAATGGTAGGAAGAGGTAGGATAGCAGGAACTGTATTATGAAGGGACTTTGAAGTCAAGGCAGGAATTGGGTCCTAAAGCAAGACGACACCCTCAGCAGGCTTGGGCCCTGCAGTAAGGAATGGCTGATGAAGGCAGAGTATCCTCCTCTTCCCAACCTATCATCTCCCAGATCATGAAAGTCTGAACAAAGCAGTGCTGGGGCACTAGGAATGCAAAGGGAGGTTTACCAGCTGTGCTTAGATAATAGCAACCGTGTGAGGACACATTATCTGTCTCCCAACCTTCCTTTGAGTCTGCATTGAGGTTTTGAGGAAAAAGCTACAGGAATTGGTAACTGACTGGAGAGAGAGACAGAGAAAGAGGCAGGAAACAAATACAGACTGGAGGGCAACAACAACAACAAAATGTCGGGCAACCCCTTCGGGCTCCCTCCTACTGTGGGAACTTTTCTGTCCTCTCAATAAATCCTGCTTTCTCACCCAAAAAAAAAAAAAAAAAAGTCAGGCACAACTAGAAAAGAGAAGAAGCTAGTTTGAAATCAGCAGAGGCATGTTGACACTCAGAGATTAAATAATGGCAAGACCGATATTCATTTTGTGATATCTATAATTGAGCAAATTCAAACTGTTATAGTAAGCATAAGTTTTTAAATTTTAACCATTTAAAAATAGTGTATATCAATTAGGAAAAGAACAGTGCAAAGTTGAAAAGGAAAGCAAATATAGATCTATATAATTTCAACATAAAAGGCAAAACTCTGAGATAAGGCAGAGATACAAGATGAAAAAAATAATTGATGCTTTCTTGTACTTACTTATTGCTGCCATTCAAGCATGCTTTTTGCATAGCATCAACAGTATATTGAAGAAATTCGTGGGCATCTTCTTGGTTTCCAAAACGAAAGTGCCTAGCTATACCTATAAAATTCAAGACAAGGTTTTATCATTATATATAATAAGCCTAGGCTATACCCCCCTAAAATATATCTTATAATAATATGTTCCTAGAGAGCCCCCAAATAATTGCTTTATGAGGAAACAGCACTACCGTAACCTTCCCCAAGAATAGCTAGTACCGTGCCCTTTAGACCAGGGGTTCCAACTCCCGAGCTGAGGATCAGCAGTGGGCTGTGACCTGTCAGGAACCAGGCCATACGGCAAGAGATGAGCGACAGGCAAGCAGAGCTCTGCCATCTGTAATATCAGTGGCGGCATTAGATTCTCTTAGAAGCATGAACCCTACGCTGGGAGCTGCACATGCAAGGGATCTATGTTGCACTCTCCCTATGAGAATCTAATGCCTGATAATCACCCCTCCACCTCCGATACCAAAAAAGTTGGGAATCACTGCTTCAGATCCTTAAGAGCGCACAGGAGGTAGAGGTAGAGTTTCTGAGAGTCCCCAGCGTAAGCCTCATGTCTTTAGCAAGCTAATACAATTATACTTAAATAAATTCAATGCTGGCTATATTATCTCAAAAATTGTCCAAATGTTTATGTTGTTGCATACATTTGAAATTGGTCCTAGATCTCCACGATGAGAACCCATGCAAAACATAAGTAACCAAACCTAGCTAAATTCTATCTCAATGATCTGCAGAACATATTCACAGTTGCACAGTAACATTTCAGTCCTATTTTTTTTTTTTTTTTTAGTTGGAGTCTCACTCTGTCACCCAGACTGGAGTGCAGTGGCCGCTCCCGGCCACCGCAGCCTCGACCTGCTGGGCTCCGGCAATCCTTCCGCCTCGGCCTTCCAAGTAGCTGGAATTACAGGCATGCGCTACCACGCCTGGCTGATTTTGTGATTTTATTGTAGAGATGAGGTCTCGCTGCCCAGGCGGGTCTCGAACCCGCGGGCTCAGGCAATCCACTCACCTCAGCCTCCCAAAGGCGCGGGATTACAGGCTGAGCCACCAAGCCCGGCTTCAATCCTATTTCTAATTGACTAAGCAGTTGCAAGACCAAACTCTTAAAAAAAAATTATAAAAAACATTAACACAAAAGTAAAAGCAATATCACATTTAACATACATTAAATTTTATGTGTATAAATGTATAAAAATATTTGCTTATTTTAAATCATATAAATGTCAATATTATACCAGTTTTAACCTACAGAAATGACAATTTCAGGATTCAGCCATTTATGTGTCTATGGATGGATGTATATACACACAACATGTAAAGCAATGACATTTTCTTAAAGACTAGGTTTAAAAATATTATTCATGCCTGCTATATAAGTATGTACAAAAATTAATATATGTATAAATAATCAAACCTGTCTGGCTAAAATTCTGCCAGGTTCCAGTAATGTTTTAAAGATTTTTATATTGTCTGTTGTGGCCTATCAATAGTGCCAAGGTTCAATATAACACCCCTTTAATCTTTAGCAGCTTTTTAGGCAAATGGATTATAATTTGTCACTGTATAATTATGTACCCCTATAATTACCCAACTAGACACCAGATTAAGAGTTATAGTTTTACTTGCATGCATTTTAAATTCCAACTCAGTTAATTAAGATGATATAAAAGTTTATTGCAAAATACACAAAGTGCATAAGAAAATTTCATACAACCTGTTTAAAATTTAAGTAGAAAAAAGTAAAATTTATCCACAAATCGCTAAGCTATGAGTATACATTTTTAGAGTATAATTACGTTTATTTTGACAATTTCTGTCACTATATATGGTTTGTCATTCACCAAATTAAAACTAACTAGAAACTATTTAAAGAAACCTGTGGGAAAATAACAGAATTAATATTACTCAGCATAGAAATCCAAATATCTGGGAAAAAAACACTACTAAACTTATCAATGATTTGATTAACAAATTGAGTTCAAAATTATAGGGCAAACTTCTTGGGTCCCCTCCCACTGTGGGAACTTTTCTGCCTCTCAATAAATCCTGCTTTAAAACAAAAAATTATTTAAATTTTGCTTATCTGAAACTGCATGGAATTTTCTTTAATATATTGTTATCTTTTGCTTTAAGGCTTCAAGATGAGTTTCTACAGCAAATATCTTACTTAAAATTTGTTATTAAAGACATATTCAGCCAGGCATGGTGGCTCATGCCTGCAATCCCAGCATTTTGGGAGGCAGAGGTGAGAGGGTTGCCTGAGTCCAGGGGTTCGAGATCAGTCAGAGCAACTTGGCGAAATCTCATCTCCATAATAAATTAAAAAATTAGCCAGGCGTGGTGGTGCGTGCCTGTGCTTCCAGCTATTTGGAAGGTTAAGGCAGAAAGATTATCTGAGCCCAGCAGGTTGAGGCTGCAGTGGCCATGAGTGTACCACTGCACTCCAGCCTAGGCAACAGACTGAGACTCCTACTCTAAACAAACAGACAAATAAATGACATATCCATATATGATAAAAAACACTTATCTGTTTTGTAATATATGAGGGGTTCATTTTTTCACCAGTTAGGTATTAATACTAACTACCAAATAAAAATGAATATAAACTACAATAGTTAATACTTACGACGCATCTCATTGATGACAAACATCGGTTTAATAACATCCCCAGGATTACTGAGTGCCTGGGTAATATGCGCTTGCATTGTGCACATCATACAAAAGCCTTCTGCATGACCTGAAAGATAACAGATGATAATCCTCCAAATTAGCATAATATGACTATATACACACATTGAGGTAAGTACAACATGGGGCACACGCCTGAAATAACAGCTACTAGATGCATGCATTAAGCTACCTACTTTTATTCATTTTCATTGAATTCTCTAACAAACCTAAGTGATAAGCACGTATTGGTTGTCACAAGAGAGGAAAAAGGCTCAAAGAGTTCAAAAATGTGCCCAATGCAGGTCAGGTACAGTGGCTCACACCTATAATCCCAGCACTTTGGGAGGCTAAGGAAGGAAGATTGCTTGAGCTCAGGAGTTTGAGACCAGTCTAGGCAACATAGTGAGATCCTGGCTCTACAAAAACTAACAAAAACACACACACACACACACACACACAGAAAGAGAGACAACCAGGCATGGTGGCGCATGTTTGTAGTCCCAGCTACTCAGGAGGCTGAAGCAGAAGGATGACTTGAGCTCAGGAGTTCGAGGCTGTGGTGAGCTATGACTGTGCCACTGCACTCAAGCCCAGATGAGAGACCCCAACTCAAAATTTAAAAAATGTTTTTTGGTCCAATGTCAAAGAGGTATTATATGGCAGATACATAACCAGACTCAAATTGTGCTCTTTCTAATTTCAAAGCCTGTGCTCTTAGCTACTCTATATACCAGAAAAACAAGATTTTTTCCCCCTTCCTACTACCATTTGTCTCAAATAGTAGAAGAATGTCTGCCACAGTAGGGGTTAAGAAATCTCTATGTAAATATTCTGGCTATGCTGGCCACAGACAGTGGTCTCTATTGCATATCCTCCTCCTCTTCTTTTTTCACAACTTTTAAAAAATGTTAAAATCATTCTTAGCTCATGTTCAGTGGTGCTACTGGCATCTAGTGGGTAGAGGCCAGGAATGCTGCTCAATATGCTACAAAGCAAGATAGCCCCACAACAAAGAATTACCCAGCCCCAAGTGTCAACAGTACTGAGGTTGAGAAACTCTGCCTTAGACCAAAGGCTGCTCAGACCTACCTAAGAAAGTACAATGTCTTGGAAGGATCAAACTATTTCCAATTAACTGTGTCCCACAGTAAAGCTAAAAAATATTTAAAGGAATAAAAGAACATTCCAGCACCCAACAACATAAAATTCAGGCTGTCTGGCATCCAACAAGTACAAGGCATGCAAAGATGCAGGAATGACCAGTAATTAGAAGAAAATAAACAGAAATAGATCCAGAAATGATACGAATAACAAAATCAAAAGACAATGTCAAGATATAAAGACATTCATGTGTTCAAGGAAGTGAAAAATGCAAAAGCACATTAAGAATCATGGAAATAGATCCAAATGTACGTCTACACACGAACAACAGGCTCTGAGATGAAAAATGTACCAGATGGGATAACAGATTAGACACCACAGAAGAAAAGATGAACTTGAAGGTATTCATTATGCATAGAAGATATCCATAATGAAACACAAAGGGAAAAAAACTCAAAATAAAACAACACAGCATATCGGTGAGCTGTAGGACAATTCCAAGTTGCCTCTAATATACACATAACTGGAATCTGAAAGTGAAGAATATTTCAAGAAATAATAATTATCCACAAAGTGAAGCCCAAGAGAGGTTTTATAGTGATGGAATGGTTTTATATCCTGACTGAGCTGGTGATGTATGTGAGTCTACACATGTTCTAAAATTCAGAGAACTTTACATCAAAAAAGTTAATTTTACTATATGTTAAGTATAAAAATAAAAGTATTAATAAATTACTGAAAGTTGTAAAGATGTGATGGAAACAGTAATTGCACAGATCTAAGAACTTCGACGAACTGCAAGCAGAAGAAACATGAAACTACACAAAGGACCATTCAAACTGTTAAAATCAGTAATTAAAAAAAAAACCTTAAAAGTAGCTATATGGCCAGCAGTGGTGGCATGTGCCTGTAGTCCAGCTACTCAGGAGGCTGATGTAGAAGGATCGCCTAAGCCCAGCAGGTCAAGGCAGCAGAAGCCATGATCATGCCACTTGTACTCTCAAAAAAACAAAAACAAAACAAAATATTCTGGCTAGGGAGAGATTGCCTTCTCTGAACCAGTCTATTCCTCTTCTTTTCTTTTCTTTTCTTTTTGGAGACAGGGTTTCACTCTGTTGCTTAGGCTGGAGTGCAATGTGCAATCCGGCTCACCACAGCCTCAACCTCCTCTAAGATGATTCTTCCGCCTCAGGCTCCGAGCAGCTGGGACTACAGGCATATGCCACCACAGTCGGCTGACGTTTTTTGTTTTTTTTTTAAATAGGGATGAAGTCTCAGTCTATTGCCCAGGCTGGTCTTGAAGTCCTGGGCTCAAGAGATTCTCCCACCTCAACCTCCCAAAGTGCTGAGATTATAGGCACGAGACACTGCACCCAGCCAACCAGCTAATTCTTAGACAGCAAATGGCTCGGCCTTTGATGCAAGCCTTTGTTATACACTCTAACCAATTCAGAATCCTACACCTGTCTGGCCCATATACCCCAAGAGGCAATACTTCTCTGCCTTAATCACTCCAGGGTCAAGTACCAGGCTATCAGGAACTACCCCTATGGCTTACAGCACTGAAATTATTCAAACTAGCCAACCCTGAACTGCTTCCCTTGCCTGGTCTTTTCCACAGAAACATCAGCAAAGGCTCTGGCCTAACACTTTCCCCTCACTCCTATCTTCTGCCTCCTGACCACCCTGGGGTCTTTGCCATGTGGCTTCGTGTGGCATACCATGCCTCCTGTCTCTTAGATCTATGAATATAATAAATTTTATTTTCCTTAGCCTCTCCGGTACCTCCTCCTCCTCTTGTGGCACCCTTCTGACTGTCTCAAAGAAGGACATAAAAGACAGCCCAACACCACAGAAAAACTGTGCCCACCTCTACCCACACCTGTAAAGGCCAAGTGAAGAGTCTAGACTTTGACTTGCCAAGCTGTAATGAGGCACCCCAACCCAGCCACTGGGACAGTGTTAAAGAAGGGGAACCAGGAGCTGGGACTCTTATCTACACGGGGTGATAACGAACCTTGCCCCAACCCCACACTATTGGTGAAGATCACGTGGAGAGCCTGGATTTCCACACCCAGTCAATAGTAAAGAGGCCACCATCCCTACAACTCCTCGCCCAGGTAGGGTGAGAATCAGGACTGCCACCACTGCCCGGCAGTAACAAAGCCACTCCTCCTACAGTGTCCACAGACCATGTAGGGAACAGGAGCTACCACTTCCACTCAGCAGGAACAAGAATCCCCAGTTCCCATCTGGGACGCAAGGAGGCTGAATGGGGAACCTGGGCTCAATCGAGCATCACTTCTTCTGCCAGTGCAGAGAAAACTGGCTAAAACAAGTTAAACAAGAGTCACTGTCTTAAAACATAATACGAAAATATCCAGCTTTCTGTCAACGATCACTCATTATACCAATATACAAGAATCTTTCAAACAAAAATTATAACACTGCCTGATGTGGTTCTAAATGTACACAGAGGACATATTCAAAACCAAGTATAACTAGGGGAGAATAAAGGGGAGGTAATGTTTCTGTACTTCCCTCAAACTAGTAAAATGACAATACAGTAAGTCTCCTACATACAAACCTTCAAGTTGTGAATTTTGAGAGGAGAATATGCGTTTACATGTCTAATCATGTAATTTAGTTCACATGTCTTACATACATTGTCATGTGTGTGCATCCGCTACAAGTGGTTGTGCTTTTGTGTACTTTACAGTACCGTATAGAGTACTGTAGTATAGTACCTTTATTTCAAGCCAGATGTCCGGAAGCAAGCATAAAAGCAGTGGTGATGTAGCTGGTATAACCAATTGTGTTAGTTGAGTACCTAGGCTAACTTTGTTGGACAAACTGGACTTATAAATATGCTCTCAGAACAAAACTAGCTTGTATGCAGGGAACTTATTGTACCAGCAAATCATGATAAGTTATGTATAATACCTAGAGCAACCACCAAAAAAGCTACAAAGAGATAGAGTAAAAAATACTATAAGAAAATCAAAATAGAATTCTAGATCAGGCACAGTGGCCTATGCCTGTAATCCTAGCACTTTGGGAAGCAGAGGCAAGAGGAGTCTTGGGCAACCTGGTGAGACCTCAGCTCCACAAAAAATAAATAAAATTAGCTGAGTATGGTGGCATGTGCCTGTAGTTCCAGCTACTTGGAAGGCTGAGGTAGGAGGATCACATGAGCCCAGCAGGTCAAGGCTATGGTAGCCATGAGCATGCCATTACACTCCAGCCTGGGTGACAAAGTGAGACTATGACTCAAAAAAAAAAAAAAAAAAAAAAGAAAGGAATTCTAAAAAATATTTTCAAGTAACTCAGAAAAAGAAAGGAGTAAGAAAGCAGAGATATGAAAAAGAAAATAAATAGAAACAACATCTAAATGGCTGACTTAAGTCCTGATATATCAATAATCAACTTAAATATAAATGTTCTAAAAACACCATTAAAAGATTGACAAAGCATATTAAACAACACAACCTAACTATATATGGTCTACAAAAAATTCACTTCAAATATGATAATACAGCCAAGCTGAAAGTAAAAGGATAAAAAATGCAAACATTAATCAAAACAAAGAAGGGATGGCAATATTGTCTATGGCCATACCATCCTGAATGCACCCAATCCTGACTGATCTTGGAAGCTAAGCTAGGTTGGGCTGGTTAGTACTAGGATAGGAGGAATGCCTATATTAATAAGAAATAAAGTAGATTTCAGGAACATAGTAAAGATGTTAATTCTCCCCAAACTGACATACAGGTTTAATGTATTTCCTGACAAACTCCCATTAAGATATTTTATAGATACTTACCTGGCAGGGGAGATACCATGATCAAGATATTTTACAGATATAGATTATTCTATGATTTACATAGAAAGCAAAGGAACTAGAATAGCTGACACTATTTTGAAAAAGAAGAAAAAAGTGGAAGGAATCATTCTATCTGATATCAA